TTGATATGAAGCAACGAATGTTCACAGAAACTGATAAAGATAGCCGAAGTCAAAAATAAAAAGTATAGAATGCAATAAAAAAGATCATAATGATAGGTTGCGTTATTCGATGTCTTGCTCACCAGTGTAGAACATCTACATTGATGTTCTATGTCAAATGATTGGGGGCCTACTATAGTTAGACGAGAATGGTGACGAACCAACTAACGCTGAAGTCACACCTCGCGACCGGCCCTTACGTGGTTTGAACCATCGACGCATCAAAGGATCATGGACGCTATGGAGACTGTACAACACAAAGGACGTTATTACAAGAATATATTAGTTAAGGTACAACCACGAAAGTACAGAAGTGAGAGAACAACCACTGCCGCGTGGGCTAGTCCATGGCATATACTTGACTGATGCTCGTTGACTATCCTTGACCTTGACAGGGATCAATGTTCTGTTCGATATTCAGTGACATTTCACCGACTCTACACCCCCTCTGATCCATCGTTCAATACAGAAATGTGTTTTAAGTTCGTAATCTGATCACATACCGAGTTCCTTTCTCAATGATTATAGTGTTTAATTTATCCTACAGATATTCTTCTAGAACTGTAAACGCGATACTGGTGACCCCAGGGTATATGTGAAAGCTATAGTCAGTACAAGAGCAACTTGGCTTTAAATTCTGTCAGTTTCTAAACATAAAAACAAGTCGTTTAGTACAATAATTAAAGGGATTCCAGTCATCAAGTGGAACGCATAAACGTACCGACCAGTATTACGTGTCTTATCGAAATGAATAAACATTACGACTCACACTACTATAAAGGGATAATAATGTCCTTCAATTAGTAGGTCACATGCAACAAGGATAGTTTACAGACATATCGGGCCAGAGTGACATGGAGGGAACTTAAGCAACGAATAGATTAAATTCAACTTAGTATTGTTTGTTTGAATCTTCCCATCGATTTGTTAGGACTGCAACTGGTCAGTCTCTAATTGGCATATGTGCATACTGTGCGTATTGCCTCGATATACCTTAATTCACAAGCATGGTTAGCAGAGATGGATAGTGGCTAGCAGTGGAATCCAGGACGCGCGTTTCGTCCTATTTGGGACTCGTCAGCTGGATGTACCTGCATCTCAGAGTTGATGTTCACTCTGGGACTCGAACCCAGTACCCTCGCTTCAAACGCCATCGCGTTATCCACTCGGACACTGAGTCCTGATAGCCACTTGCTTGTGCGATGGGGTGAAGTTTAAATTCAACTTAGTATTGTTTGTTTGAATCTCCCCATCGATTTGTTAGGACTGCAACTGGTCAGTCTCTAATAGAATAGATTAGTTAGTTATGGATATAACTAACATTGATCAACCGTTTGACGGCAGTGTCTTACGTCTCTATGATAGTGAGCGACTACAATAAGCCCAGTTCTGATTCTCAGTTTGTGTCTGAATTTTTTGTAACTCATATTCAGACTATTAAGAAATTCAAGCTAACCCCCAAAAAGTGAACATTTTACATGAACAGTTTTTCAGTTGTCATTTGACGATAGATTTCAGGTAACATTATATATTTAAATTAATCATTTAAACTGTCTTCTGCTTATAGATCTGTCAGTGTCATATAAAAATCATGTTTCTATGTAAAAAAAGAAATAGCTAAGTTAGAAAGTATATTGTAGTTTAGACGTTTTTAAATGTTTAAAACCTAACAGAAGAAATTTATCGTTGAACACAAAAATTTGCCGAATTTATTCTTCATTTGGTTCCAAACGAGAACGTTGGTGTCTGAATCCAGTAAACGAACACAATTAGACTCAAGTCACTAATATGGCAGATTGAGATTCGTATGAAAACACAACATTCAGAAGTAAAGCCTTACATTTCCCTAAAATATTATAACTTCTAGTCACTTATGTACCTAAACGTTTGTGTTTGATTATCTGGTGAACAATAGTTGGTCAATGGGTCATATCTCTGAAATCGTGTTGGATCTTTAGTAGATTGAATGAATCAGCTAGATGGAAGAATTCCTATTTAGAATTATACTGTCGATGATTAAATGGATTCGAATAGTACTTATTGCGATGCTCGTTGAAATTTTGCTAAATTAACAATCAACTCAGAGGTTTTCATAGCCTTCGCGAATCTTGTTAAAATAGGTGTTTATGTATAAATTTTCATTATTTTTATGTAAGATTTCTTTTGGTCAGTTAATTTCATTAAAACGAATATGTAAGTTTTTCAAATGAAATCATTATGGTTTCGAACAGAATCTCTGATGTTATTAGATACTAATTGGAGATTTAATAATGAACTGCTGCCTTATCCGGTGGTGTAGATATTGCATGTTATGCATATAGAACTCTCGGTGAAAGCTTTACGAGAGAATTCAAAATACTACTTGCGAATTCCGCCTTCATTGCTGTATCATCTGGATTTTTAGTCAAACGTGCTGTACATCAATAAGCATTAAAATATAAGTCGAATACTTCTCGTAACAATTATATATAATATGTATAAAAATATGTAATTATGAACTGAATAAGTGCTTGATGGTGAGTGGTTTTACAGTTCATGGACAGTGGCGTCAGAAAATAATATGCCGCCTGTTATTTAACAGAATTCAGACTTCTGTTTTGACTTATTAATTGCCACACTTGAAAACTATTATTGGCTGTTCGCTTAATCGGACTAGTAGATAGTCTGACAGGTACTAGATGAGTTTTATATTCTCTTACCCTTGTTATTATTGGATTGTTGTCGGGCTTTAGTGTGGAAATGTATTTGCGTTCTAGTCATGCTAGTCACGTGTCCTTAATCTGAGTTTTGTTGAGGTCGTGTAGAATAGACACTGGGAACGTATATAGTGGAGATATTCGTCTGAGGAAACTTGGCGTCTCATTCGTGTAGATGAGGAAACCAGAGCGTTATAGCACAATTCATTCAAACCGATAAAAGTAATTTGCAAAATGCTCAAAATTCAACATGGTATAAGGTAGAAATGAACACTCTTATGTCCACAATATTTTCTAAAAAGCTTACATTACAGTTGAATGTAGTCAACTGTGGAATATCTTAATAAGAAACTGTCATGTTTGAAAAATTCAAACCTACGTAATATCTTTTGTATTCACATTTCATTCGACGAAGTTATTTTTCTTCCATGCATTTTTGCACTTCATACACTTCCAAATAGGTCACTCAAATAGCTTTCAAGCAAATATCTTTGAGGAAGCACTAACATTTATTATTTATTTAAACACATAAATATTGGTACAAGGAAGCACCAGATAAATATGCGCTTCACAAATCTCATTCGATTTGTGTGAGGGCTGTGATACTGCCCAGACTGAAACAAGTGGTTTTCTTAGGGGGCACACCCGGAGCCTTTGACCTGAATGTCTGATCCACAAGGCAGTGGAGCATCGTGAGGAGATGCAGTCCCATGGTAGCCGTTGACCAATGACAGGTTCGTCCGCCATTCGTTCCATCAGGATACTGGAGCCCATGTGCACCATTGGTTTGGAATCAGGGTTTTCCAACTCCCCTAGGTGGTCTCTCCGTGTCCACCAACCCGGTTAAAGCGCCGGACGTTCGCTTTTCGTCCTCTCACTTTCGTAAACAACACCGGTGCCACGAGAAGGCAGTGAGTAGGACTTCCCTGGCAGAGGCTATATATTCGCTGGCCATATGAGAGCATTTCGAGAGGGAGAGGTGACTCTCCCCACTCTCGGCCGTACCAGGGCATTTGGCGGCAAGCACTAACATAGACTTTTACGGAACTCATAGGAAGTGGTTGCCTGAAAACGGTAAGATTCTAGATTCACGTCAAAATGTGGCTATCATCTCGCTAATGTTTGTATTTATTTCCACATAGTTCATTACTCAGCTTGTCTATCATAGAAGGATTAGAAACCGATTTATTATCGTGAGGAAGGATACCACGAGGAGCAAATACTAAGTAGTTGGCAAGCCGTGTCAGATTGAGACTTGTTAGCAAGACAAAATTGAAACTGAAAACTACATGATGTCTTTATTTAGGGTTTATTTAAGGTTAGTGATCAGTTTCTATTATAAACGTATTTGCGACATAAGAACTCGTTCATTCGATGGATTAGTTTATGTGATTTTTAGATCACAAATACTTGCCTAAACAGATTCCGTGACTTCAACATTTATGTACAAATTCACTGAAAAATTGACGAGATGATATCGTAAGACTACAATCTGAGAATCATGTAAATGTGATTCCCGACAGTTAAGTGCAGTATAAACGATATAACAATATCTACTATTCAATGTATCAGTAATGATACTATACTCGTCTGAACTATGTCATTTTCACTATGAAGTAGTACAATAGTCATTTTCACATTAAATCAAAGCAAGTTCAGCAACATATTAAGGTACATACAACAAAATTATCCTTTAAGTTAGTAAAAATTAACATGACGTTTTAAATTCAGAAGTCTAGATTTTGAATGATGGGCTTCTATTGAAAAGTATACTTTATGTCAGAGAGTTTATTTTACTGGACCAACCAAAAGAGAATTCTAATATTTTGATATGAGCAACAAATTTATAAACGTATACATAGACTTCTAGGCAATATTTTCATGTTTCTAATTTACTCTGATAATCGATATAATTCGAATTCTAAAATTTATTTAGTGTGTTTCATCCATATACAACTATCATCAACTTCTTTAGGTGTTATTATAAATGAAGAGGTGAAATAATCTTTGTCTATAATATAATTAGAAGCATTCTGGTATATCTTGGTGTAGCGTTCTTTCATTTGTGTCAATGAATTTTAATCACGGAACAATACACAATACATTTAATGTGAAATAATTTATTAACTGTTTCATTTGGTAGATGAATATGTGATAATCAAGCTGGTGGTTTACGTAACTTCACCTAACCACGATGTAATTTTGTACACAGCTGACAAGAATAACAAAGAAAACTTATTAATTATTCGAAAAATAAATAATTGTTTACAATAAATATACTACGCGAAGATCCGTGAAACGATACAAATATAGAAGTGATACATAATCCGATTTGAAAATTGAAAATGGGACCACCTCATTGAAATCGATTATACGACACAATGACTGATCAACATCATTTCGCCAATATTCTATCATATCACCTTTATGTTGCATCTCGTACAATGCATGAAAACGCGATTGCATCCAAATTGTAATATTATCAGATATAATTCTGATTAACTCCAGTTGATCGTTTTCAAATTTCAATGTTGTCTGTGAGAATGCATTTTCACTAATTACGTTATCCAACTGAGACTACAAAAACAACACAACAAAAGTGAACGAAAATGCTAGTGTGATATTTACTTTATATATTTAAACACATGAACATTGGTACAAAGGGGCACAAAAAATATATGTGCAACACAGGTTATCAATAAATAAGTGTGTCCGTTCGGGTACTACCCGAGTACCCAAACCCAACCAGGTGTTTTCCTACGTGAACCTGTGACTCACAGGTTTAGTCTAACCCACAAGACAGTGGTAGTAGAGCAACGTTTCGAGATGAGGTCCCATGGTAGACCGTGACCATACATGCGTTCATAAGTCATTTGTTCTCTTAGGATCCCGGAGACCATGTGCACAATTCGTTCGGAATCAGGGTTTCCCAACTGTCATAGGTCGATTATCCGTGATCAGAAACGTGGTTTATGCTGCGGACATTGGCTTTTCGTCCTCTTAATTTTGTAAACGAAACTCCTACTGCGAGAAGCTAGTGAGTAGGACTTCCCTGACAGTGGTTCACATTCGCGTGGCCATATGCGAGCATTTTGAGAGGAAGAGGGGACTCTCCACACTCTCCACCGTACCAGGGCATTTGGAGTTATAGATAAGTAGTTGTTATTCTTGACAACTTAATATGAATTATTAACTATGGCATTATACAGTTAAGATGTGGACAGCTGTAGACATCAAAGTGTTATTCAACCTCATACTTAAAACAATGAATCCAGAGTGGACTTTCAAGCGTTAAGCCGTGAGTTGTAGTTATCATCTTCAGAGGTTTAATACCATTACCATTATATAATTGATCAGCCTGTAACTAAATGGGATAATTATGAATTTTATAACAAATTGAACGGATTTACAATATCCATCCATATATAACTCTATAAGAATCCGGTGGGTAATGACCAAGTAGCTTTGAAATACATTTCCTGACGTTTAAACTCCGAGAGATGATTTGCATAAATTAAACGGACAGATGGTGGAGTGATAGCGGTTCCGAGATGATCATAAAATATACGTAGCTGGAATATCAAGTATTTAATGCTATCGTGCAGTCGGAAAACTCAATGTGTTGAGTTCGACTCCGTGTGATTCTGATGAATGATAATAGTGAAGCAGACATAATATATTGACTTGTACTCAGGTAAGTTAGTGTTTTCTCATTATAATACAGTATAGAAACATCTTTAAATTAATACATCACATGTACTCACTTTGAGTTCTTTAAAATGACGAATTTTTTTGCGAAGAAATTGAAGCAAATGTTCATAAAAAATCATATCACCATGTAATAAAAGGAGTTTTATTAAAGCGTCTAATAGAATATAAGGTGATTGTGTGACACCTAGATAATAAAATACCAAGAAAATGTCATTCAACTATAATAAGCAGTTTTTGTTTTGTTTGTTTTAATTTTTGAAATACAAAAATGTAGTGACAAGTTTTCAATTCAGAAATATCATAGAAGTTTACACATGCAAAGCAATTTTTATTTATCCATACAATATAATAAAATACCATGTCTCTTATCATTTCTGTAATTCTGTAAATAATCACCAATACATTTTGACACATACTATACAACCTGTTAACTGTGGAATGTTAGATCACAAGTTATGCATATGATACATTTACACCTTGCTGACGAGTGCCAAGTAGCACGAAACCCGGGACCAGGGTTTCCTGTTGACCACATCCAACCACTATCTTATCTTAACATAGTGCACGCAGTGTCGAGCCACCTAAACTAATGGCCACATTGCAACTTGATCAATAGCATTCGATCAGCACTAAGAAGGACTTGACACGCATGACATTGACCACCACCCAGTGATCAATCAATTGTGATTACATTTACAACCACGTCATTCATAGTATGGGAATATTTACACGATGTCAATTGACATGACAGATTGCAGATACAAGATACTGTTTAGTGTAAGCAAACGAATGACAGTGTTTGCAGAATAGTGAGCATGTATGTCGTAGTATAAGTATTAGCAGTAGCAGAAAGTAAATACCTCTGCGCTCATCATCTGCTATATACATTAGAGTTACATAATACCTTAATAAATGACTGGTATAAAATTAATGGTGACAACAGACTGTTACAATTTCTATCAGATTTGTTGACGTTAAGTAAAACGGACAATTTTATTTAGAATTCAATTAGTGAATTTTGCGTTGACCAAAACCACCTTTGAAAATGAATCATATCGACGGTTAATAACTTCATGGATCGATGGCATCTGTTAATTTTCCCAACCTTCTCGTTTTTTTAATCTAGTTCTATGTCAACTAACATTAGATGTCAAGGTGCAAGCGTCAAACCATTGTTAACCATCTCAGTCGATAAGAAACTGTTGGATAACATTACACTAGCCTCTTTTGTTAGAAAACGGATATCAAGGTTGTGATACTTGATTTTCTTGAAGGGAGACATATATTTCAGTAATGGATAGCAGTAGGCGATTGAATCTTAGTTCACGGATTTCAACTGACTGGCTTCATAAAATGCAAGAATTAAGTATTGTGAAGTAAGATAACTGGTGCAAAATTACAATTGATGATTATACAAAATTGTATTAAATTATATCTAGTGGATAAACAGAACTATGAACGAAATTTATATAACATTAATCTGACTTACGTTGAAATTTTGAATCATTGAGCATCAAGATATTCTGAACGATTTGACATGACAATTTTCGTAGTTTAGAACTATCCAAATTAGTAATGTTCGCGATTAGAATATCGAATGTTTGAAGAAAAACTAAAATTTAAAGAGATGGAGTGGCAAAGAGAACAAGTAAAAAAATGTCGAGGATTTTGAGTGGTTTCTGTTATTTATTTGTGATATGTTTTCCCAAAAATGTAAATTCATTGGACAAATAAATCATTATTACCTACTCATATGTAGTCGGGAAAACAGATTATTCAGATAGTGACTGTTCAAACTCAGTGAAATTAGCTACCATTTTATAAAAACCTTCTTATTCCAAAAATATCATTATACTAATAATCCAATCATTGACTGCACATTTGGAGCCTCCCTATGGTTACTGCCTGTCACGAGCCCGAGTAATGGAGGAGGCTTGAGAGTATGGTTAGTAACTCCACCTTATAAAAGCAAATACCGCTAAAAAAACATTGACCAGCAAAATCAATCTAAACTATTTAAACTCTACCCTGAGAGTTGAATGGTTTACATATGGAAGAATCATAACACCTCATGGTGAAAGTCGAGATATTTCGAAAGCCACGTGACATATAGCCTTCTGAAAACCGGAGCAACATGGAATGTCTGAACGATTTAGGAAACCTGGACGGTCATTTAAAAGGCTGAGGAGAAGAGACTATGGAACCAGGTCGCAGATGGAATAAGTGGGACCCATTGGATAAAAATGACTACTCACATCAGGAAAATACCCCCGATACACAGGGATTTGTATTGACATTGTGCAAAGAAGCACATTGGACAATTGGGTGAAAAGGTATAAAATTTAGTACACCCTTTCTTCTAGATGCTACCAAGCTCACACGGTTCAGCATAGTATCTCAAAAACAGGTTCCAAGCCTTAAAAGCTCTAATAAAAGAATAAAAGGAAATCACTATGAAGAACAACTGTAAAAGGATTAAAGAAACATTAACTTCAACATGGAATGTTGTGCTGGGCCCCAAGCACGAGTATGAAGAGTGGATCTCTTTAGACAGCCTGGACAGGATTCAAGGAAGGAAAATCAAGAAAAAAGCAATCAACAACAAATGAACAGTAAAGAAAGTCAAAGCAGAGAGTGGATATACAGAATCAAGACGAAGGATCCAAGAAGAGCACTAAAGGTGACAAGCAAAAATTCGTTGAAGACCTAATAATGAGAGCAGAAAAGGCTGTACGAGAGAACTAGCAGAAGAATATAGTAAAGTAGAGATATCAGTAGAAGCAAAGAAGAATCAGGAGCAGCAGAACAGGTGATCAGAACACTCTGGAAAGCTCTTGAATAGACTAGCCCCACCGAATCCACCGGAAACCAAAGTAATTACAGACGTTCCTATAGATGCTTAACCATACCAAGCAGTTGAACAAATCAGCAGACAAATTAAGAATGGCAAAGCAACATGACTAGACAGTATACCAACTGAGGCACTGTGTTCACGTATAGAAGTAACTCCGAAGATATTCCACATTCGCTTCAGGAAGATCTGGGATGAAGAACAAATGCAAGCAGATTGAAAAGATGGATGCCTTATCAAGATACCAAAAAAGGAGATCTGAGCAAATATGAGAACTATAGAGTCATCACACTACTATCGGTACCAGCAAACGTTTTCAAATGAGTAAGGACAGGTGTCAGACAAGGCTGCTTACTCTCGCCTTTTATCTTTCTTCTAGTATTTGACTGAATTATGAAGACCTCCACATCTGAGGGAAAACATGGAATACAATGGACAATTTGGATGCAACTAGACGATTTGGACTTTGCAGATGACCTAGCCCTTCTATCCCATACAAAAAAACAAACTCAGGTGATGACAGCCAGTGTACGATCAGTCTCTGCAGCAGTAGGTCTCAATATACACCAGGAAAAAAGCAAGGTCGAAAATAAACAACAGTGAGCACTAACTAAATTACAGATGACAGCTGAATTCTCGACGATGTGAAAGTCAATATTGTTATATTCCGAGGAGAATAGTGAAAAGTATTTGTTGGGATCTATTTATGGATTATGTTATACGTATATTCCTAATGTATAACTACCGGGAAACTAGTTTATGTATATTCATATCCCTCTTATTATAAGCTCTATTCCGACCATCAGATTATCATTATACTATCCTTGAGTTATGCTCAGTTTATTAATTACAATCTCCCTCAATCGCAGCCACTTTTGGGTTTGGTCTTATACAAATGTTATTTTCCATTTTACAGTGTGATGTGGTCTTTTTGGCTTGTATATAAACTCTGATAAGTTTGAGATATATAATTCATATTGTGGAGGCTGAGATTGGTGTTCTGGACTTAATCGGCAGGGAAAAGGACCAATCGGGACTCTAGGCGGTTCGTCCAGGTGTAGGGGTCATTTGTTGGTCGTATAAGTCTGTGTATGCAAATTTTGCGGTCGTATTCGTGGTGATCACAAAAGCTAAGGATGTAACAAATATGAACTCAGGGAGCATGATTGGTAAACAAGGAGGATCTGATGCGGATGTGAAGAAATGGATTGAGAAAAAAGTAGCATTACTACAATTAGGAATGTCTGAAGATCAATAAAATCTTCAGCTGTCAGAACTTTCAATACGAACGTAAAGACAGTTCTACTGTACGTAGATGAAAATTGAAGAACTACAACAGCCATCATTAAAAAAGTACAGGTGTGGTGTGTGCTATTGATGTCGATAGATATAAATAGTATGTGTCATCATTCGAAAGTGAAATGCCTGACAACAGAAAGTTAAGAAGACGGAATAGAAGAGAACGGTTATCATTAAATAAGTGTGTCCGTTCGGGTACTACCCGAGTACCCAAACCCAACCAGGTGTTTTCCTACGTGAACCTGTGACTCACAGGTTTAGTCTAACCCACAAGACAGTGGTAGTAGAGCAACGTTTCGAGATGAGGTCCCATGGTAGACCGTGACCATACATGCGTTCATAAGTCATTTGTTCTCTTAGGATCCCGGAGACCATGTGCACAATTCGTTCGGAATCAGGGTTTCCCAACTGTCATAGGTCGATTATCCGTGATCAGGAACGTGGTTTATGCTGCGGACATTGGCTTTTCGTCCTCTTAATTTTGTAAACGAAACTCCTACTGCGAGAAGCTAGTGAGTAGGACATCCCTGACAGTGGTTCACATTCGCGTGGCCATATGCGAGCATTTTGAGAGGAAGAGGGGACTCTCCACACTCTCCACCGTACCAGGGCATTTGGGGTTATAGATAAGTAGTTGTTGTTCTTGACAACTTAATATGAATTATTAACTATGGCATTATACAGTTAAGATGTGGACAGCTGTAGACATCAAAGTGTTATTCAACCTCATACTTAAAACAATGAATCCAGAGTGGACTTTCAAGCGTTAAGCCGTGAGTTGTAGTTATCATCTTCAGAGGTTTAATGCTATTACGAGGGGATTGTTTCCACTCTCAGCTGTACAAGGGAATTTCGTACTTCTTAACAGATTTGTAGTTCGAGAGCAATAAATAAATAAAATAATGGATGTGAACAGATGCAATATTACAAACGACTTTGGGTAAATTAAGTTAACATCTTCAACCAAAGAATACAATTATTTTGTGGTAGCTAATTAGCAAACTCTATATCTCCCAATACTATGCACTCCAGCAGTCAGTGAATTCATGAACTGATAATGTTTTTTATTTAACCGCCCATAGTTTTCTATCAACCTCAAAATGAAGTTCTGCATTATATCTGTTATGTAATGGTTGACGGTTGAATACATTAATTATGAACAACAAAAGATATTTTAACTTCTATATATATTAACTTCTCATTAATACAATATGTTACATCCATATGAACATGCACATAAAATAAACAATTCGTTAGTATTTAAGATTAACTCACCTTGCCTTGTGTCATCCCCCAAGTAGGATAACCCTCTGACAATAAAAATATTTGATAAACGAAACGACTGTAAAACAGCACATTTTACTTCTAAACAAACATGTGAGTGTTGCAATACATCGAAGCAAACATTGCCCAAAGTACATAACATACAAACATGTGATCCAAGCTTAATACCACTATTATCATTATATAAAACTGTGATCAATTCAGTATGAAAACGTATAAACGCTGCCAAGTAGATTGGTGGTGAATTTAAACATTTCATTTTTTGGAATAGAAATTTTATTTGTTTACAACTCCACTGAAAAGCTGACAGAATCAATTCGTTCGAGATATTCATGGAATCATGATCGCTTCCCTGTTGTTGCAATTGTATAGTTAATAAGGCAAATGCATATCGATACACTTCGTCATCTTTATGATTATTATTAAGTGGAATATTTTCATGTAACCGAAAATATTGATAAATAAAATTTTGAAATAAAGTTTGAAAGGAAAATAATGTGTTTAATTTATTGAATATTGACGAATTCAGGTGTTTACTGGCATTAATAATTTCATTAATATCTTCTATATCGGGATTGTCGTAATCCATTGTGGAATGAGCAATTGTTGAGTGTAAATGTGAATAAATTCGACGAAGTGCAACTGTAAGAAGCTGTAACATGCATTACATACATACACACACAAACAAACAAGCAAGAAAAATAACAGCGTTAATGAGTACGAAGAAAATGTTCAATTTGAAATATTTACGGCAGAGCAATAACAAACAGAAAGTTAATCTACAAATTACTAAGATAGAGATTGGATAAACACACCAACTAGTTGTACCAGTTCATAATATCAATGACTGTTGGTCATCCGATTGGAGTTGGTAATGTAGATATTTATTGGTTGTAATTCTATTAGTTATAAGAAACGTATGAAATGGTACACACAAATGGATGCCACTACTACTATTACTGTAACGAACTTAAAGTCAGATGGGGGAAAGTGAATTAATTGTTTGATGCGAAATTACTCAGTGATTTAGTAAAATATGAAAATCATACATTGAATACATTATTTGCACATCTTCCTTTAGTTGTTCTTTACATACTTCATGATTCTACCAATTAAGTAGTCATTTCAATTGTTTTATTTTTCCCTTTCTGTTTTCTTCAGTTCATTCTTTCTTTAATCTTTTGCTGTCAGCCATTCCACTACCGACTGCTGCTACATACTACTGTTAGCATAAGTAGCATACGCCACACGGCTATTATTACCACTGCCCCTACTACTATAGTTGACTTTTAATTATACAGTTCACTGTGTTGATATCCTTTTATTTTGGTACAACTCCTATCACTACAATGATATACGAATACACATAATGAAATTGTAAAATTTCGTGGAAAAAAATATGACATTATGTACAAACGATTACTCATGCTTCGAAAAATACAATACAAATAGGCAAACCTAGGTCATAAAAAGTACATTTAAACGACTTCGAATATAACAAGTAGTCATCAAAGGACAAAACGATGTTCAGTTAACGACAGGAAAATATTAAGATTAACTCAACGACACGATAATTCTATTAATGAGAAGTGGTACATGTTGCCTATAGTTTATAACGTTATTAGTCTCCCTTCCTCACTTTTTCTATTACCATATGAAATATTATTGAAAACTGAAGGGTATCAGACACATATTTCAGTCCAATATCAGACTACTCAACAGTATCCACAACCTTGACCATGTTATGAACATTACGATATCTTTTGATCACGAGTCGGTATGATTATAACGACGTAAGAGTATTGGACTGGCAATTCGAATTCAATCTAGACCGTTGATCCGACTACCTGATTATTATCTTAAAAGATAATAAAATTATAGAGTATTAAGATACTTATAGAATTATTGTGAGGAATTCACTGGGAGAATACAAAGCAAACGAAATATCACACATTAAAATGATCACTTCAATAAATATAAGCAATTGAGCATCCTAAAAATAACCGTCTTATCAAAAATCAAGTAGTATACATAAATAAGATTAACTAGACAAACATAAATGAATAATTGGTAAGTAGTTAATTAATTTATTTTATTTGAATACATAAACATTAATACAAGGACGCACCAAATTGATATGCGCCATATAAATCACTCGATTTATATGAGAGATGGGATACGGTTCGGGTGCCCAAACAGAAGCAGCTCTTTTCCTTAGCAAGCCACACCCCGAGCCTTCAACTTAAACGTTTAATCCATAAGGCAGTAGAGAATCGTGAGGAGACACAGTACCATGGTAGCTGGTGACAAACAATAGGTTCATACGACATTTGTTCCCTTGAGATCCTGGAGCCCATGTACAACATTGCTTTGGAATCAGGGTTTCCCAACTGTCCTAGATGGATCGTCCATATCCACCAACCTGGTTAAAACGCCGGACATTCGTTTGTCGTCCTCTCAATTTCGTAAACAACACTCCCGCCGCGAGAAGGTAGTGAGTAGGATTTCTTTGGTAGTGGTTGTATGTACTTGGTCATGTGAGGGCATTTCGGTAGAGAGAGCGGACCCTCCCCACTCTAGGCCCTCCAGGGCAGATGTATCTACATAGACTTATGATATTTTATCAACACACTAATATTTGTACACGCTAATTATATCAAAACAAATATAGGATTGTCTAGAGAACAATCCATATCATGAATAAACTTTGATTTTCAGTAAGCAGAGGATTACAAACTTTAAAACTAACGAAATTTACCAAATAAAAACCGGTTGTACAGTTAACCATTTGTAATTTAATCACTTAATTATTTAACAATAAGTGGGTTTCTCTTCATTAAATAGAACACTTTAATCAAAAGACTTACATCCATTGAATTCATAGATTTAGTCCATTTCATTAAATCTAAATAAAATTTATTATTAGTGGTAGAAAGAGTAAGATTTTCTGAATCGTTCAATGCACAATCAATCAAAATATTAATATGTGTGATTAAATATTCATATTCAAGACTAATTACATTTGTTTCAATCTGTATAGGTTGATCATAATGACAATTTAAGATTTTCATATATAATTGTTTTATAATTGTACATGTAATATATGCTGAATCATTTAACCAAGAGAATGATAACTTTAAACGATTTATAACTGTTAAATAATTCAATTTTGAGAGATACGATATAGTTGGAACGGTGTAAACTGATGGTGTACTATCATGAACATCCATATTACAATATATTAATGCATATATCTAAAAGGTATAATTCAATAATTAAATTCTCAAAATTAAATAAATGACTGATATGTAGTTCAATTTGAAAAAAAATTATAAAGATGTTCATTATTTAGTGGTTATCAATCTGATAATAATCATGTGCTCACTAGTGATTAACTTTAAGAGGTATTTCCTGGAAGTCTAGTGAGAAGCAGTAACTAGTGGAGTTCAACCGGGTCTGTTTTAAATATTAACTCACTGACGACAATGGTGGATGATGGCTCGATTTCGTGGATTGGTTGAAGTCAGACATTAAACCGTTAGATGTCAGCTCAGTGGTCTAGAGGTTGATCGTTCGCGTGCGAGACCGATAGGTTCTGGGTTCGAATCTCGCGGGGTGGGATTGTGGGTGTGCACTGCTGAGGAGTCCCATGCTAGCACGAGACGGCTGTTCAGTGCTTCCAGGTTTTCTATTGTGGTCTAGCTTCAATTGACTCATGATTCCAACTGATAAATTACTCAAATTTCCACAAAAGCCCCTTCTGAGAGTAATTTATTTATGAAACAGAAAAATTATTAAATGAAATTTCGATACGGTGCTTTTTGTTTTAAGTAAACTCTTAACTGAATAATCACATTTTGAATGTATGATTAGTCCATATAGTCATGGTAAAATTATACTTTAGGGACTGGCATAAAACAAGCGCGATAAGTTTTTACCCAGTTTCTAATCAATCAGAAAGCAACTTTTATAAATGGATAGTTTATAGAAAAGAAAACAATAATACTGTACAATATTACCACATTTTACATAAGTAATAAATAGACTAATGTTTTTTACAGGTTATTCTGCCTGTAGGTCGAAAAAACAAACAGTTTATGAACTCGTTCTAATGGATATACATTTCTCATCTACTTGGATACTTAAAAAGGAAAAGAGAAATTTTTCAAGAGTCAACATCAACATTAATTTCCTGGTGAATGCTACAACACCTACTTACTTATATCAATACATGAAAACAAATGTGGACACACGTTTCATTAAAAGAACGTTTCTATATTGAACAGATGTTGTAAAAAGAGGTTTTTCAGATGTTTAGAGCTTAGACCAACCTGAAATCAAGAATTTAGCGAAGAAAATTTTCTTTTCGACGAAATTTCAATATATATATACGAATGTACAGCTTCAGTAAATGATTTCATCGAGAAGAAAATTTTCTTAGCTGAATTCTCTTTTTCTTATTCAATAACACTATGAGTTGTTTTAAATGTATTGAAATTTTCATACCTTAATTCAATCTTCTATTTATACTGATGTTGTCTGGAGAAATAATAAAAGCCTCATGGTCAAATCACCACAGAAATTTGAAGTTAGACATACAGGTGAGTTTATCTCTATCAAACATGTTTGAACTTTTAATCACGGGAACCTTCTAGGAAGATTTACTGATTAAGTCAGAAGTGTAAATAATTTCTAATTTTTCCACTTATCTGTCACGTTCTGACTGGGTAAAACTGGACTAAAAGTGAACCAGATTATTCTAAGAGTTTCTCAAAGTTACCATTACAATGAAGGTTTATAATTGTTTGCATTAATAGGTTTAGATATTTGATTACGTAGGAACTGCGCGACAGCTACTTTAGTTTGAACAGTTAAATCGTAATATTACACTACTAGATGTCTCACATAAAAACATAGTTGCCCAACACTAATTGTACGAAAATCTGTACTAACAACATAGACAACAACCAATTATGTAATCAAACTAAATAAATTGTGATTGGGTGGAAAAATATGATTTTGTTGCATCAGGTCATTATCATCCTATATAAATAATGGGTAAACATATGCATATTTATGAATTCTACACAAAAGTTGAGTAAGTAACTCTTTTATGCAATCTTCACTCTCAGTGTGTAGATTATGTCTACACAGTTGTGCTACATGCAGACCTCGAACACAATTAGACATGCGTACTTTTGCTAACTGAAAATGTTGTTCTGTGGCCATAAAGATGGGTCGACCGATAATATTTAAGTTGAAAACCCACCACTTAAACTCATTCTGATCTCAGTGGGACAAACATTGAGAGCCAGGAAGCATAGGACCGCTGTTGTAATCCTATATGGTGATCAAACCCAGAAGTTTTGATTTCACAGCGAGCGCCTAACCCTGTAAACCACTTCAGCCGGCATCCAATCGTGTACATCTTAAACTTCAATCAATTTGAAACATTACACTTTCATCTTCCATTGCCTGTGGTAGATAATTGTCTCAAATTCGACGGTGCAACAGCTCACTTCTAACTTTAGCTACACTACGACAATGGGCTTAAGACTTAAAGAGACTCATTTAGAAAATTTATCTGTATGAGTATTAAATCCTATATAAAATGATAGAAACAGATGTGAACTACCTGTAAAAGTAGACCATGTAGTATATTCAATCGAATATTGCACCATCTTTTAACTAGTATTGATTCATGAACTAGTTCCATTAAATCGAATAAATGGTTTATTGTAGTCATGATAACACTTGGATGTATAATTGAGGTTAAAGCTAATGAAGAAATTTTACGTATACGTATGTCATCATTAAAACCACACCTGAAAAAGTAGTATATACATATATTTCGTTAAAATAGGTCAGAATGGTATATGTATGTCAAAATGGGAAATCAAAAAAGTCAGAATATAGTGGACAATTATTTCATTATAGTGAGATGTATCAGTAGTATGTATACTCGCTACCCCATTTAGGAAGTATCAGTTTTGTAATGGCAATGGCTACTTTAGACTAATCAGTCTGAATCCAACGTTAATTAATAACTTGAAATACATAGTTCGACGGTTGTATAATATTTGTCTTCAGAAACTATGTACCTTTGAAGTGAACAAGATAATCACACCGCATCGACTTGAAAACCCATTAATCCAATGGTTTTTCAATTTCTGTAAATTGTACTGTTTAGTCGACAGAATTAATCACAGAATATAATCTGAATAACTTATATCATACTGAAAACATAAATTCGATACATTTTCAGATGACTAGATGCTTTAATCATTAAATAATGTCTTCACAACAAATTGACGAAAATAACTTCTTGTTACTAGCTGGGGTGAATTTAACACAGTACTTTATTTCCACTTATTACTAGACGATGCTAAGTGTTCTTAAGATTGTGGTTAGCATCTCATTCCAGTACCTAACACCTTGAATGTGAAAACGTGATCAGATAAGCTACATACAGGGTTCGAATTTCAATTTAAACATTAACACTAGGCCACGGTCACTTCCAACTGACGAGTCCTAAATAAAATTACAGGTAATATAAACACAAAGATCAAATGAAATGTTCAGCAGACACAACGAAAAAATTGAGACTCCTGTAAAACAGTAAGAGTCTAGTCAGTTAAGACGATTAAAAATCAACGCAACATATATGGAGCAATTGAACAGCAACATGACATGGACTTCATAAGACATGAAGCTCGATCATATATGGATTCATGAGTTTGTATTCATCAAGAGTTTGAGAACAAGAAAAGAGAAACTGTACGAAGCTCACTGATGTACAATTACTTCGCAGATGTACGTATAAATTACTATTGTATTTTAATCAATGTAAGTTATATTTGATAGTTTATATATATATATATATATATATATATATATATATATATATATAGTACATACCAAATAAGTAGCCTGTATAACGTTTTATCAATCACGGCAACTTGTGTGGATGGTAGTAGGTGTGTCATCAAATGAAGTATACTGTACAATTTGAAAGAACTTGAATGTGGAATGCTGTGAAATCTAGAAAAAAGAGATAAACATAGACTTCAACAGACACTGAAGGTGAAATCTTATGGTAGAAGGAGAATCAATCACATGAAATGGTAAATTAGTTGCAAGAAGAGAGAGAAGAGGTACTGTTAACTGTTGAATAATATTCGAAAAAACATTAATTGTAGAGTTATCGAGTGGTATGCACAAAGCCTATCTAGCATACGTTGAAATTTTCTGTTACAATTAATTTGTATATATTGAAAAACAATAGTTCCTCAATTAATGAATTATCTATGTGAAAAATCTATTAAGTCACAAAATATGTAAAGATTAGTGTACTTATAATGGTAGTTTTCGTTACGGATACATAAAGTTACAATCTCACAGAGACGTATTCACGCAACGACTAACCTCCATTGGCAGGTAGGAGACTGAGGTACTTACGCTCAATCATTTCGGAGCAGCAACCAATGTCACATAACACAAACAACATCAGTTACTCACGATTACTACTACTAATTAAAATAATTATGAAACGAAGATTGGTTGATTACTTATCATTTCTATGACTAAAATACAGTCACTGTTAAATTATATTGCAGGCTCACAGAGAGCAAACTAATTATTTGACTACGCATGAAATACATTCAATCAGTAATAAATATTCAACATCGAAATGTGACCATTAGTCTAGGTGGCTCGACACTGCTTGCACTATGTTAAGATAAGATAGTGGTTGGATGTGGTCAACAGGAAACCCTGGTCCCGGGTTTCGTGCTACTTGGCACTCGTCAGCAAGGTGTAAATGTATCATATGCATAACTTGTGATCTAACATTCCACAGTTAACAGGTTGTATAGTATGTGTCAAAATGTATTGGTGATTATTTACAGAATTACAGAAATGATAAGAGACATGGTATTTTATTATATTGTATGGATAAATAAAAATTGCTTTGCATGTGTAAACTTCTATGATATTTCTGAATTGAAAACTTGTCACTACATTTTTGTATTTCAAAAATTAAAACAAACAAAACAAAAACTGCTTATTATAGTTGAATGACATTTTCTTGGTATTTTATTATCTAGGTGTCACACAATCACCTTATATTCTATTAGACGCTTTAATAAAACTCCTTTTATTACATGGTGATATGATTTTTTATGAACATTTGCTTCAATTTCTTCGCAAAAAAATTCGTCATTTTAAAGAACTCAAAGTGAGTACATGTGATGTATTAATTTAAAGATGTTTCTATACTGTATTATAATGAGAAAACACTAACTTACCTGAGTACAAGTCAATATATTATGTCTGCTTCACTATTATCATTCATCAGAATCACACGGAGTCGAACTCAACACATTGAGTTTTCCGACTGCACGTTAGCATTAAATACTTGATATTCCAGCTACGTATATTTTATGATCATCTCGGAACCGCTATCACTCCACCATCTGTCCGTTTAATTTATGCAAATCATCTCTCGGAGTTTAAACGTCAGGAAATGTATTTCAAAGCTACTTGGTCATTACCCACCGGATTCTTATAGAGTTATATATGGATGGATATTGTAAATCCGTTCAATTTGTTATAAAATTCATAATTATCCTATTTAGTTACAGGCTGATCAATTATATAATGGTAATGGTATTAAACCTCTGAAGATGATAACTACAACTCACGGCTTAACGCTTGAAAGTCCACTCTGGATTCATTGTTTTAAGTATGAGGTTGAATAACACTTTGATGTCTACAGCTGTCCACATCTTAACTGTATAATGCCATAGTTAATAATTCATATTAAGTTGTCAAGAACAACAACTACTTATCTATAACCCCAAATGCCCTGGTACGGTCGAGAGTGTGGAGAGTCCCCTCTTCCTCTCAAAATGCTCGCATATGGCCACGCGAATGTGAACCACTGTCAGGGATGTCCTACTCACTACCTTCTCGCGGCGGGGGTGTTGTTTACGAAATTGAGAGGACGACAAACGAATGTCCGGCGTTTTAACCAGGTTGGTGGATATGGACGATCCATCTAGGACAGTTGGGAAACCCTGATTCCAAAGCAATGTCAGTCAGTCAGTCAGCTACAACGTAGGACCACGCACATATATGCATCGGTCCAAGTTGCCATACCTCGTTAGCACAACAAGAGGAACACCGGATTCATAGAAGTAATTAATTTACTGGTGGTAGTAGTATATAAATTATAGGTTGTATATAAGGATATAGTACAGGAAGGAAGAGAGATATGAAGCAATTTTAGTCTCAAGGTTTAAGGGAAGATAAAGAGTGTATACACCTACGCCATTGTGACCGATTATGAGCCATGTCACCTAGAGTCTCCAACCATTGGTTACGATAGTCACGCGGACCCCAACCAGGTAGTCTGCATCTGCCAACATGGCTCAGGCTAGAAGTTAGTGACTTCAAACACTGATGCCATGTTTTGGTTTGGCCGCCCCTAACTCTCTTCCAACCATCCCTTACACTAGTCAACATTGCGCGTCGTGGTAATCGGTGTTCAGGCATACGTAACACATGGCCCAACCATCTCAGTCGATGAAGATTCATCACCTCATCAACTGATTTACCATCATTCCCTACTACACTGCGTCTAACCTCACTATTACTTACCCGGTTATCCCAGCAGATGCGAGCTATATTTCTAAGTCATCTGTGGTCAAATACTAGTAACCCCCAAATGCCCTGGTATGGCCGAGAGTGGGGAGAGCCCACTCTCCCTCTCGAAATGCTCTCACATGGCCAGCGAATATATAGCCTCTGCCAGGGAAGTCCTACTCACTGCCTTCTCGTGGTGGGGGTGTTCTTTACGAAAGTGAGAGGACGAAAAGCGAATGTCCGGCGCTTTAACCGGGTTGGTGGACATGGAGGGTCCACCTAGGGAAGTTGGAAAACCCTGATTCCAAACCAATGGTGCACATGGGCTCCAGTATCCTGATGGAACGAATGGCGAATGAACCTGCTGCTGGTCAACGGCTACCATGGGACTGCATCTCCTCACGATGCTCCACTGCCTTGTGGATCAGATCTTTCGGTCAAAGGCTCCGGGTGTGGGCCCCTAAGAAAACCACCTGCTTCAGTTCGGGCACCTGGGCAGTATCACAGCCTCAAGCAAATCGAATGAGATTTGTATGGCGCATATGTATCCGCTGCTTCCTTGTACCAATATTTATGTGTTTAAATAAAATAAAATAAATAAAACCTACGAGTATCTTCTACTCTTAATGGCCATGTTTCACAGCCGTAAAGTAGAACAGAGCGAACTGATGCGCAGTATACTCGTCCTTTAATTGATAGACGGATATCTCGTCTGCGCCATAGGTGACGTAAGTTGTCAAAAGCCAAACGAGCTTTTCGAATCCGTGCTGAGATTTCGTCAGACACCAATCCATTAGTGCTGATCAGACTTCCAAGATAAGTGAAGTTGTCAACGCGTTCGACTACTTCACTCCCTATCCTTAGTTCGGGTGTTGACGCAGGCCAGTCCTGGAGTAACAATTTACATTTAGATGGGGAGAAACGCATCCCAAACATCCTGGCATTATTACTGAGTTCCAACAGAAGACTCTGCATTTTGCCAGCGTCTTCACCAAACAGGACTATGTCATCTGCGTATTCTAAGTCGCTTAGTGGTCCCCCTAGTAGAAGATCAATTCCTGTAGATTCAGTCGAAGAGAGTGTTATTTCCAGCAACAGGTCTATAATGAAGTTAAACAAAAATGGGGATAGTGGACAGCCTTGACAAACACCACTTGAGGTTGTAAAATCATATGACAGTTCGCCATAAGCTCTCACTCGACTAATAGTGTTCGAGTAAAGAGCCTTCAAAAGGTTTATGTACTTCTCAGGTGCCTTTTCCATCTCTTTTGCTTTCGTTGCCCACCACTGCTCACGACCGTTCCTTAGACTTTTAGTTAACCTAGATCTAATTTCTTTACGCTCTTCGTCATGTTCAGAGCCTGATGGGATGAGTTCACGCGAATCCATCAGTGAAATAGACTTAGAGGAAATCCACTGGTTTTTTGGAGCCCTATGGTTTAAATGACTAATAGATGTTACTGCTGTTTCCACAGCTGTTCGTGTGTCTTTCCAAGCAGCATCTGGGTCAGTCTCAATTACAGAACTGCCTAGATGTGAACTCAGTTGCTTCTGGAATTCGCATTTGGCTTTCTCGTCCTCCAGTTCAATCCTAATGGGTCTTCTTAGTGTACTTTTTCTGCGTCCATTGAGGCGCAGACAAATGCGCGCTCGTATTAAAGCGTGATCAGAGTCTAAACAAGTATTCCAATACGAGCGACAATCTTCTATTGAGCCTCTCCAACGATGACTGATGACAATATGGTCTATTTGAGTCCATCGTTGGTTTGGTGCAGGTGGTCGCCATGTTAGACGATGTCTCTCCTTATGCTTGAAATTAGTGCTTGCTAAAAATAAACGATTGTCTGAGCATAGTTGCAACAGACGATCCCCATTATCGGTTCGTTGAGCCGGAATACTAAAACACCCACCTAAATGTCTTTCTGTTTGATTTAAGCTGCCTACCTGGGCATTAAAGTCACCCGCTACGACTACTATGTCTGAGGGTTTAGCTTTCTGAAGAAGCTCAGAGAGTTTTCTGTAGAAGTCATTTTTTACTTCATCATGGCTCCAGTCAGTGGGAGCGTAGGCAGAAACAACGAAAAGACAACGACGTGTGTCCCTATCCTTCCGAGTTCTTATGGAGCCATTTATCCGGACAGCACACTGGCGACTGTTAACGGGGATCCATTCTAGTAGTGCCTGTTCTGCCCTTGTACTTAGTGCTATGCCTACACCTGCAAGTCCGCGAGAACTAGCCAACGGGTCGCCAGATACACGGAGGGTGTATTTCGTCGGCTGTCCATTTTGGCGAGGTGAGGTCAAGTGAATGACCACACTGGGATCCTGTATGCGTGTTTCGGAGACACAGCATACATCAATGGTACGAGATTCTAGGGTTTTAGCTAAGGAGGCCTGTTGACCGATTTGGCATAGGGTACGTACGTTGAAGGCTCCAATGTGTAGTTTGGAGCAATGTTGTACATGGGCTCCAGGATCTCAAGGGAACAAATGTCGTATGAACCTATTGTTTGTCACCAGCTACCATGGAACTGTGTCTCCTCACGATGCTCTACTGCCTTATGGATTAGACGTTTAAGTTGAAGGCTCGGGGTGTGGGGAAACGAGCTGCTTCTGTTTGGGCACCCGAACCGTATCCCATCTCTCATATAAATCAAATGATTTATATTGCACTGATGTGTGGGCGAGAATGACAATGATTGGTTGTCTTGATGAGTCAGACATTAGATAGGATGACAGGTGTTATGTGTTATATATATATTCCCCTATCCTTATTATGTATTGACTGTTCCTTGATGTTGGATACTTATTGATTGACTGTTCTTTGTGTCGGATTTTGGTGTGGAAATATATTGACGATATAGTCAGGCTAATCTCGTGTTCTTGATCTGAGTTGTGTTGAAGTCCTGTAGAATAGACACTGGGTGGGAATCTAGTGTAGATATTCGTCTAAGGTAAATTAACGTCCCACATACGTGTAAGAAGTGAAAGGACTGTTATAACCAGAAACACTTAAAGTTATAATCAGTATCCTCTCTTCTACGTTTATAACACATAGCATGAGAATACTCAATATTGCATTCACATTACGAATTCGATGTTAGAACAATCAATCCATCAGTACAACAGCAGTGATTATATTTCATTTTGGTTTGAGAGATTTTTAGGCACCATGTCAAATGAGTTGAAAACGTTTTTGGAATGCTATATACATCTCTCCCATTGAATTACGAAAACACTTCAGGATAACAGTTAGGTGGATATCAAATGTTAAATCATTTAAAATAAATCGTAGTAGAACCAGTTATGTTTACTTTTTAGCTTGATGTAAATAATGAATAAATTAAAAGAATTCGATAACCTCGAATTATTTAAACTATTGGACTTGAAATAACATAATTTTATAATATGACACGCATTGATACATAATTAATTACATACTCAAACTGAAATATGTTAAATAAAGATTTTGGCCGGCAGTTCGATAGTCAAATTGTGGTGTGGTCTACTTATATCCATATAAGTAGTATATGGTGTGGGTCAGACATAGAATGTATTTTCGCAGAAGACCGATGACGAAAGAACTGAAACAAAGCGCAATCGGTAGGAAAATGCACGAACAATGGAATTAGAGAAGAAACAGTGAAGATCGAGACTATTGGTTGTTAATTTGCAAATTGACTCTACATTGTATGGTTTTCAGAATTTACTGAGATAGTCTGTAATCTTTGCTTAAATACATTCGATTGTCCCCAACTAGTGTTCTGTTCACTACAAAATTTAAGTTGTCTTGTTTATATACATATTGATATTATCTGAATTTCCCAAAATATGACATATCATCACACAATGATATCGATACACTACTAAAATAACCAAGTTTAAACAATCGAGATTTTAGCATAGAAATTTACAAAATTAAACAACCAACATTGAAAGAACATACTGACAAAGACATTGATTAAGCAGAAGCATTTATTTATTTGAAGACATAGACATTGGTATAAGGATGCACCAAATTGATATGCGCCTGTTATAAACAGAGAGGATACTGGTTATAGCTCTAGGAGTTTCTTGTTATAACAGTCCTTTCACTTCTTACACGTATGTGGGACGTTAATTTACCTTAGACGAATATCTACACTAGATTCCCACCCAGTGTCTATTCTACAGGACTTCAACACAACTCAGATCAAGAACACGAGATTAGCCTGACTATATCGTCAATATATTTCCACACCAAAATCCGACACAAAGAACAGTCAATCAATAAGTATCCAACATCAAGGAACAGTCAATACATAATAAGGATAGGGGAATATATATATAACACATAACACCTGTCATCCTATCTAATGTCTGACTCATCAAGACAACCAATCATTGTCATTCTCGCCCACACATCAGTGCAATATAAATCATTTGATTTATATGAGAGATGGGATACGGTTCGGGTGCCCAAACAGAAGCAGCTCGTTTCCCCACACCCCGAGCCTTCAACTTAAACGTCTAATCCATAAGGCAGTAGAGCATCGTGAGGAGACACAGTTCCATGGTAGCTGGTGACAAACAATAGGTTCATACGACATTTGTTCCCTTGAGATCCTGGAGCCCATGTACAACATTGCTTTGGAATCAGGGTTTCCCAACTGTCCTAGATGGATCGTCCATATCCACCAACCTGGTTAAAACGCCGGACATTCGTTTGTCGTCCTCTCAATTTCGTAAACAACACTCCCGCCGCGAGAAGGTAGTGAGTAGGATTTCTTTGGTAGTGGTTGTATATTCCTGGTCATGTGAGGGCATTTCCAGAGAGAGAGTGGGCCCTCCCTTTTCTCGGCCGTACCAAGGCATTTGTAAGTTCTTATGGCATGAAATACATTTTCATATGAACGGTTATCGTTGCTACAAATTTTCGTTTATGAAAACACATGTATAATGATTCAAAAAATTATTAGGTGAATAATCGTTATGTTTATAAACATTCATACTTTGTATTCGTTGAGTACCATGTAAGTGCTTCAACCAAGTAATGTTCAAATTTCGGATAACGTTTGAAAAATGTTGATGTTGCTAAGCTTTAAAATTTTAGAAAATTTCAATATTAATATAAACATCATTTGTCAAAATAATAAGTTAGTATCTATACATAAGAAAAGGTTAACTATTTTCAAATGGATGTATATGTTATAAATTAAAATCAACAGCGCTCAACTGACTTTTCTTTAGTTAAACTACATTATAATATTGAATCAATCACATTCAAGGTGGTAACTTTTAATTCATGATTGAAATATTCAAAATTAACTTTAATGACAAATTGTCCAGGGAGTGATTTTGAAAATATTTTGATGCAACGCTTAAAATGTTTAGAATTCTTGAAAAAAGAGGGTTTATTGTCCCATTAAACGGTATGATGATGAAGATATGTGATACAGTTACTATTTCAGATGCAAATTTCTTAGAGAATGTAATTCAATAACCGTTGATTTTCACATGAGAAAACTAGGTTTTTATTGAACATGAACTTTCTGGAAGATCAGATGGCTTCATTGTACAACATGAAAATATTGATTACATTACTTAACGCATATTTATACATTTCTAACTCAATATATGCTGGGCATACATTGGATAATTCAAAAGAATTTTTATTAATCAACAAATAGTAATGATTAGCTTTATCCTACTTCAGGAGTAGTTATGACCAAACACTTACGATTTAACCATTGTGGAAAGAAGAAACACTTGTATTTATCATGGTTTTCATTTATTCATTCATTTATCAAGCAGAGATTCGTGTGAAAAGGTAGTCAACACGCAATCCTGCTTGACATACGCTTCGTGTTATTCGAAGCTGTACCTGTAATCCTGAGGGAACCAAAGCACCTTGGCGGATTCGACTTTAACTCACCTAGCTTTACAGTCCGAGACATTAATACGATTGATCTATTTGGGCTGTGACTGACCTCCTATAAGACTGAGTTATGTTTACTAATGACTGACCATTGAGTTGTGATAAAAATCGTGTATGTCAAGTATTTGTTAGTGCTAATCGGATTCTATCAACCAAGTTGTCGGATAGCAGGAAAATTAGGTCCGAGGTTTTCTGTCGACTACCTCTAACCGCCCACCAAATTACATCTCTATGTAGTGTACACAATGTCGAGTATTTTGGATTAATGGTCAAATCGTAACACAATCGATAGAATTCGAGCTGCACTAAGACTTGGCGTACATGACACCAGCCACTAATCAGTGATCAATCGATTTGAAGAATACATTTCTGCATTGTGCTTGATCTTTGGGTTTAATGTTGAGGGATAGTGATATTGCCCCGCCTGCTCAGTTGCCTGAACTGAAGCATGTGCATTCGGATCAGTAACCGAAAGGTTAAAAGCTAAATGCTTCAACCGATACGCCACCAAACCATGAAGAAATCAATTCACACTCCGATAAACGATAAAAATCTGTGGAGACATTTTTTTATAATACTCAAGTCGGAAAACTGATAATAGGTTTTGAAATAATTGAAAAGTTTGTTAAAACATTTGTTTTAGTACAATACTCCTGGAAAGGGTAAACTCTCTCTTTTGATTGATTGAAAAGTGACTTTACAAACAAGGTCACTTTCAATATATCCGTCTAAAAGTGTAGCGGTTAAAGTATATGTTTCAAAACTTGGTAATTGAAATGAATTTCTCATTCACTTGTACATATACACGAAAACTTAGAATCGATATATATATAAGTAATACAAACCAATTTTTTCGACTTTTAACTGCTTTGGATCGATTTACACCAAAAATACGTTGAACTATTGTGCTATAAAAAAGTATGGAAGCATTCCGTATCTGTGTAATAAATTCAAAACACAAAACATGTAACAGAATTTTATTTTAGAATTTATACATATTGGAGACTGATCTCAGGCAGGCAAAGATAGAGAACTGGGAAAGTACCGAACAGCTGTTCCATACTAGCATGGTGAAAACTTGAGTGAAGATGAGTATTCACAACCGCAGGATCGTGAAGATTCGCAATAGGAAATTAGCTTCAAACTACTGAATTGGTTTACATCCATAGCTTCGGTAAATTCGCAACATTTAAGGATCCTTGTCTAGTGTTGTCATTGGTGATCTTTATCTAACATTTAATATGACTGAACTCCACTGCGTCAAACCTTCTTAAATTTATTTAGTAGCAAAAGCATGATGACCTTTTAGTATAGTAGGTTGAGAAATGTTTCAACTTTATGGAATGCAATGTAAATGTAATCGATCCAAACCAAAAACGTGACAATATAAGCGGAGATGCATAGTGGCTAGCAGTGGAATTCAGGACGTGTGCTTCGTCCTGTTTGGGACCCGTCAGCTGGATGTACATGCATCTCAGAGTTGATGTTCACTCTAGGACTCAAACCAGGTATCGTCCGTTTCAAGTAAACAATACAAAGTTAAATCAAAAATGCGACAGTTTATGCGCTCACTAAAACTAATTATGAATTTGTTAAAACAGTTAAATTAATAGAACAGAAATCTACCTCACATATCTTATACAATTATTTTAGAACGACCATATTTTATAGGAACAAGGAGTTGTTCGATAATGTAATTACGAAGTTACTACATTAAATATGTTCACGGTGATTTTCTCGATTATTATTTAATTACTGTGGGAATGCATGCTATTGCATGTTGATATTTTATTTTTATTGATTAAACACATATACATAGGCACAAGGAGGCACCAAATTGATATGCGCCATATAAATCATTTGATTTATATGAGAGATGGGATACGGTTCGGGTGCCCAAACAGAAGCAGCTCGTTTCCCCACACCCCGAGCCTTCAACTTAAACGTCTAATCCATAAGGCAGTAGAGCATCGTGAGGAGACACAGTTCCATGGTAGCTGGTGACAAACAATAGGTTCATACGACATTTGTTCCCTTGAGATCCTGGAGCCCATGTACAACATTGCTTTGGAATCAGGGTTTCCCAACTGTCCTAGATGGATCGTCCATATCCACCAACCTGGTTAAAACGCCGGACATTCGTTTGTCGTCCTCTCAATTTCGTAAACAACACTCCCGCCGCGAGAAGGTAGTGAGTAGGATTTCTTTGGTATTGGTTGTATATTCCTGGTCATGTGAGGGCATTTCGGTAGGGAGGGCGGACCCTTCCCACTCTCGGCCGTACCAGGGCATTTGTCCAACGGAAGATTATTTTATTTTTCATCACGTATTAAAACTTGAATCTGTAGTACAAACGTCGATATACGTTTTACTATTTCTAAATTATAATTGTTTACTTATTCACATCTTACTTTATTCTGTATCACTTACGGCTGGTTAATATACACGATATAATTCCTTACTTATGATCCATTTTGATGAAGTGATTAACTCGTTTAATCTTACGACCGTTTGAATTAAAATCTATGGGAAGTTTTATAACAAACTCACCGATAAATCTCTACATCCAACACCATCCAAAGCAACAATTAATGCTTTTTGTAAATATTTATCTGTATGACAATTTAAATTTTTTGATTGAAATATACCACGAATAATATTTAGGTGTAGTACACATTTACTCTGGAAAAAATGTTTAAAAACAATTAGGATAAAGAAATTCAGTTTATTATGATTAACAGACAGTCTGGAGCAAATGTGCATTAGCCCAAGACGTCACACCAAATTAGAACTACAAGATAGAATTAACCGGGTAAAAAATAAGGGGATTGATAATGAGCAAAAAAACATTTGGGATGTGGTGCGACAGAACAAAATGAAAAGATATGTATGAAGGAATACTGAGACTCAGGATCTAGAACGAATTAAAGAGTGAATGTGTATGTAGCACACTATGAATGATTCTCTGTCATGTCATCCAATATTTCTAACCATTGATTGTGGTTATCACATGGAACCAATTCAGACAGTCGAGACATCATGCATATATATTTTGGCGCCCCTTAGTAGTAATTTGTATGTGTTTAACTAATTGATAAATGAACCCCATTTTCAACCACAAATGACCTTATTTATGTACAGATTGTGATCTCTTATTATTTATGATGAATTGTGGTCTTGTAAATGGATGAATATTTTAGATGTAGATTTTTTAGTCAATAGCAGAAGCTAAATAGGGAACGACTCGTTATTCACGTATCCTCACTTGATATTCAAGACTGGAGAACTCATGTGGGCCAATGAGCATGTTAGTCAAATACAACTGTTGTCCGCATGGTGTATTATTTGAGTGAAGTCTATTGGTTATGTGATGGTCAGAATAATAGCATTATGAATTGATGGCAAAACTTCAGTTGATGGATGATCTTTGAGTGATTGTAAACTGATCTTGAGAAAATTAAACTACTTAACAAGTTAGGAATTGGTGTTATAAGTAAGAATTAGGAATTACAGTTAAAGTTTTCACCAGGAACTTAAACTAGTTCACTGTTATGTAACTACATGGATGAATGAATTTCGTGCAAAGAATTTAAGGGATGTTACTTTAAATCTGATTAGTTTGGAATCAAATCATAATCTCGCCATAAAAAATATTGTGAATACAATGTGTTAACTTTTGTAACAAAGCCCACTTCACTTTTCAGTCATGAATGATTGGGATAGTCTGGTAACATGTAGGTAGAACTATGCAAACTCGATAGACGGATGATTGACTAACAACACTTTAATAATAAACCTCAACGCATTGGAAGATGAAGAGAAGTTATGAGCCCAGGTAAAATCTTTTTATTTAAGAAGCTAACATTGTCATTGAACAACTCAATATCTTTGGCGACCAAATTGGGAACATAATAAAAATGAGAACAAAACAATCTAATAACAACGAAGATTGTTTGACGAAAATTAATTAAAACAACACTATCCTGATTATCCTTGAACTACCAACAAATGAAACTACATAATCTGAATTTTTCCAACAACAATATCCTGGGGGGAAAGTTAATGAATTTTCCGAGAAACTACCCTATAATCACTGTTCATGACAACTGAGGGTAAGAATTTAGACAATTTTGAGTTAGAGTTTAAGGATAGTACTGATTTATCTGTTATATACAATCTACAGAGATAGAGTTTGGTATTCAGTACGTTTAACACCAACATTTTATTCTATGGTGGTAAAATGTAACTTTTTATTATCATTTTAAGAGACTTTTGAATAGTAAACAAAGGTATTTCCGATCCTTATTATATATGGTATTTGTAGTGCGTAAAAGTCTTAAAAGCCGTATTTTTAAAACTACTTGGTTTGTTTCCATACCAAACTATTACCGATGGCAAATATAAGCCATTCAATTTTTATTTTTGCGCACGAAACTTGAAATTGGTTTTCTTGGATGTGATTGGATCGTTCCTATATTATTCTTTTATCCAAAAAAATAATGATAATTTGATTTTTTTCATGATCAGGAACATGTAAATTTAAGCAATAATAATATACTCACAAGGTTGTTAGACTGTTGAAGATCACTGTTACAAAGAGACGTTTTAACTGATTTGAGTAACCAACAGACTGTATTTGTAAGTGTTGTTGTTGGTACATTGGTGTTACGAGTTATATCTGCACATAAAATAGCCTGTATCAATATAAAAATGAAAAACTTAATTTCTTAATGAGAGAAACTAAAAAATAGAACGAATAGTTGTTACACGATTTGAATGAGTTCAAGTGAGGAAACAACAACTACATCATCAATCATTCACAACTCACAGTGTAGAACCGATTACATATATGGATGCACATTAGACCAAGTTGTTACACACTGTATCTCAATGCAATCGTTGATGCTCGTATTCTAAGGAAATATTAAGCTCAATTTAATTTAACGTAAACTTTGGTGCATGGAATAGTGGCTGTAGTATGAAACCAGTCAATAATGATATTCGATGTTTGAATACTAAATTAGTGATGCCTTGAACAATCTTAAACTGGACGACTAAACTCTTTAAAGACAACTGTCAATTCCAAACTAGATGAGATAAATATGTTTTCTTAATATTCTGATAATTCAGTGAGATTCTCTAGGAATTTCACTCGGTCAAGAGTGATATGCAACCATTGAAAGCAACACTACAAGGTGGTCTTGATCAACACAAGAGAAGTCAAAGTGATTCACCCACAAACAATTAGGCATATATATGTTATCATTCAAGAAGAGTGAATTAGTGGAATAAGAAGCATGAGATACTTTAGGAACTTAGTATTTAGGGAAAGACAAAGAGTGAATTTATCTGAACCAGTGTGATCAATCCGGAGCCATGGCACCAACCATCTCTAATTTTAATAGTCACAATAGTCGGTGCTGACCTTAACAAGGCAGTCTACACCTACCTGGATGACCCAATTCAACAATTATTGAATTCATAGACTGATGGTTTGGTCGACCTTAACTTTCACCAACTTATTTTTGCAACGACCAAAATTAAACAAGATAGAAGGCAGTAGTTGAACAAATACAATACGTGGAGTTTCACAACTACATCAACCAATTTATCATCTATACCAAATGCATTATGGTTGATCTGGAAATGAAAACGTGTATTTGAACAAAAATGTTGAAGTTATTCTTTTGACAGACAGCTCAGTTTTGCGATAGCATTATTAGAAATAAATAACAAGTTGCTAACATCTCTGACACTATATATATATATATATATATATATATGCACTAGTGTCAGATATGTACAAAAACGAAAGTGCATTTCAATGCGACACGATAGTTAAAAGGTTAAATGTTTCAGCATATCAGTTAACCAGAAGGTCAAAAGAAAGAAAACCTACCTGAACAAATAAAGGGTAACCGGCACCACGGCGAGTGATACATTCCATTGTATTATGTTTCCCCATACATGATTCCAGTGAAAAATCAATATTTTCTATTACAGTCGAACAATCGTTTGTAGACTTTTCATTTAATGACAAAGTTTGATCGGTGATTGCATTAAGCCAATGGATAGGAATTGTAAAATAAACTGAATGACTACATTTAAAGAAAAAAAGTAGAATGAACATAGCGATGAATGAGAACTGAAAAACAAAACGCTAAAACGTACTTCACTTTTACAAGGTACTACAAGATGGAGTCGGTAAAAATACAATTAGCAGGAAGACCAGATCCTAACATACGTTCCATGACAATGTGAGCGTGTTAGGAAAGAGTTCATTCAATGCTGATGGGATTGATGTTCACTCTGAAATTAGATCCAAGATCTCTTATTGTCAGTGTGAGACGTTACCATATCACAGAGACATATTCACGTAACAACTAACCTCCATTGGCAGGTAGGAGACTAAGGTACTTACGCTCAATCATTACGGAGCAGCAACCAATGTCACATAACACAAACAACATCAGTTACTCACGATTACTACTACTAATTAAAATAATTATGAAACGAAGATTGGTTGATTACTTATCATTTCTATGACTAAAATACAGTCACTGTTAAATTATATTGCAGGCTCACAGAGAGCAAACTAATTATTTGACTACGCATGAAATACATTCAATCAGTAATAAATATTCAACATCGAAATATATTTCTGCTGAATCAATAAAAATGTGCCCCTGAATGTCTTGGTACAGTTGAGGGTTAGAAATCTCCTCTACCTCTCGAAATGCTCGCGTATGACCACACGTATATGAAACACTGTCAGGTAAGTCCTACTCACTACCTTCTCGCAGTAGTATCCACAAAACCCACCAATCTGAAAAATAAATACATACAAATGTAATCATCAATGATACAAGATACAATTCATCAACTTACTTTACAAGTGCAGTACAAAAGTTTGTAAATCCAGTTGCACATAATTCAAATGCTCCACGATGGCGGCAACAAAGTAACTGAGTACAGAAAAATCGAGCAATAGAAAAAATCTGTAATGTAGAGAGTAGAAAAGAGAAATAATTTGTACAGTAGAAAAATAATAGATTGAATATTGTTTAACTTTATACGACATTTAGAGAATTTTCAACAAATATCATAATGTTAAACTTGTAAGATAATTGTAATTCAATGATTGAAGTATGTCTGAAAAGTTCTAGACTTGTTTCCAAAGTAAAATTACATGGCGCAGTGTAGAAATACTGTATACTTCAATTACTTTGTCACAAATTTAGCATTTTAATATTTAATTAAAAGTAAAATAGTATGTGTTACAGTGATTGGTTTCCTCGGCAATACTAGACTGGTCATGTGATGTATCAAAACAACCATGGATGACAAGTGAGAGACATATGAATGAGCTGTAACCAATGAATCACTCACACCAGGTTTAATAAAGTTATCATTATTTCTTTGAACACCACAAATATAAATGCATCCGATCCCCTGATGCAGGGTCTTAGATGCATACTGCTGAGAAGTCCCATAGTGAGGCAAGATGACTATCCCGTGTTTCTACATTTTAAGTGGTGATTTAGCTGCGTTCGGCTTCTTATCTTAAACTGTTAAAATTCTACAATGTCCACAAATACACCTGAAATGAACGTACATGAATTATACTATTCAGTTGAAATGCCAAAGTTGAAATGGACAACATCGGATATGAAGATATCATGATTGGGAGAAAGGAATGAAAATGGTGAGAGATTTGCAAACCTATGTGCCTTCAATAAACTGGACATAGGTGGCACCATATTCCCACACAAAAACATACACAAAGCCACTTGGATTTCACCGGATCACACTACACAGAATCAAATCGACCATATCTGCATCAACAAAAAGTTCAGGAGGATAGAGGGTGTGAGAACCAGGAGAGGAGCCGATATAGCATCAGATCACCATTTGCTTGTCGTCAAGATGAAATTAAAGCTTGAGAAGCACTGGACAACGAGGGGGACAACATTACAAAAGTTTAGTGAAGCTTTTCTTCGGGATACTGACAAACTCAACAAATTCAAGATAGCCCTCAACAATAAGTTCCAGGCCTGTCAGGATCTACTCAATGGAGAGGGAACTACTATATGGAGCAACTGGAAAGGGATCATAGAAGCACTAACTTCAACGTGTCAGGAGGTTCTGGGCACAAGAAACAGCATCATGAGGAATGGATCACTGTTGATTCACTGGATAGGATTGAAGAAAGGAGAAACAAGAAGGCAGCCATCAATATCAGCCGGACAGGAACAGAGGATTCGTTGGCCAGACACTATCGGCAACAACCTACTGTGGGAGAGAACAAATCAGATTACAGCGGAGGAAGAAGTCAGGAAGAAGCGCTGGAAGTGAAATCACCCAACTGCGCCACAAGGCAAGCCCTCACTTGGAATCCTGAAGGTCAAAGGAAAAGAGGAAGACCAAAAAACACATTACGCCGAGAAATAGAGACAGACATGAGAAGAATGAACAAGAATTGGACAGAATTAGAAAGGAAGGCCTAGGACAGTGTGGGTTGGATAATGCTGGTCGGCGGTCTACGCTCCATTGGGAGTAACAGGCGTAAGCATGTAAGTAACTAGACCTTAAAATACAGTGTCTCTGTGCTATTTTTTACAATCTACGTTTCGTATGATGTTCAGCTAACCAAGAATGTTAAGGTTTAACAAGAAACTGGGAAGTTAGTATTTTAAGCATTCAGTGTACAAGACGCATCAGTTGGTTAGGGATTAAGAGTGAGCATAGTATATGAACCAGACCGATGATCACAACACTGATCAGATTTAAGCTTAATACAATCTAAATGAAGATATTGAAGATGTAGAAATATTAGTAGACAATAGGGTGAATCAAGCTTAAATGAATTATCTATTGAAACAGTTCAATGATCTTTATAACCAGTATGGAAAAGCTATGTTATGATTCAGGACTTTAATAAATTATAAACGTTTGCTGCTGTAAGGTAGAAGTAACAATGTTAAGATTTGTTTTGTACTGTTAGGCTGTTAGATTCATGCATCGAACTATCGGCAATTGATTGAAGTCAGACATATTAGCTATTGAATATTATGCTTCGGTGATCTGACAGTTGAGCACTCACTGAGAGACTCGAGCTTGATCCCTGATGGTGGGATTGTGGATACACACAACTGAGGAGTTCTGTACTACAACGAAGTAGTTAACCAAAAATTTCTCCTAGAAAGATAATTCCCGGGGTTCAATTCCTAAGCCATGACCAGTGAATTTCAACTATGCATGATGTGATGCAATCATCCACAATAGAAGTGAGTTGCAAATGGATTGACATTAGGCATGTAAATATTGATTGCCAAATCAGTTAAATGTTTTCCAAGAGAATTAAAACTTCTGAGCTCGATGACCAGCTGGTATCGGGTTGTGCACTACTGAAGAGCTTCATATTAAGGTTGAAAGAGATGTCTAGTTCTCTCTGGCATTCGTTAGTTATCTGATTAAAGTCGATCCGTGACATAAACTATGAAAAGGAAAGCGTTTATCGTATACATCACAAAAAGGAAAAAAACCAACTCACGAACCTCTTTTGGTTTCATTTGATTACTATCGGATTTATTCAAACCGTATGAGACAAGTGATATACCCATAAGTAAAGATAATTCACGAACAGAACGCCAACAACATAAAATTAAATATTCTGGATGATTTCGTGTTTTTTCATAAAATTTATTCAATTGATAAGCTTCTTCATCTGCAGTCTTCAAGTAGCGGGAACAAGGAATGTTAGAATAAAAATAATTGTAAAACACTTTAATTACAAAAAAATAAACTAATGGGTTTTTCATAGTGAAAAGCCGCTTGATTGCACAAACTATCAAACAAGCAGCAAGTTAATGACTTATTAGGGTTAATCAGGAACGCTTTGTAGTTAAATTGGTGGACACTTTTTTATTCGATTCGTTTTTCAGTAAATTTCCAGAACAAACTAAGCACTTCCTTATGGTTATTTTAAGAACTACTCAATTTCACTTGTCATTTTTAGTCAGGTCAACTTTATTAACTTTAAACATCCTTGTAATTTAATACTGGTAGGTTTCAATGGCTTCTTATTCTTCTCTTAATAAAACACAGGCTATCAGTCATGGGAACTCTTCTAGGGTTACTGCTGGTCCCAAGTCCAGGTAAAGGAGGAAGGTTAGGTGTGGAGTCAACAACTATATCCCGTGGAAAACAACCTTTCTAAACAACGCTAACCAGAATAAATAAATTAAAGTTTTTAAACCGCACCCCTCAGGTTGAAGGATCTTCATTTAGAAGAATCATGACGCCTCATGATGAAAGCCGATATTCTTAGGACGTTAGGAGACCAATGGCCATTCTAACAACCACAACAACAATTAATATAGATACATGAAATGTCTGGACAGTGTGTGAGACCGGGAGGACCAGTCAAATAGTCACGGAAATGACGAGATACAACTTGGCGGTTTTCAGAATGAATGGAATCCATTGAACTCTAGCTGGACAGAAAATATTAATTTCGTAAGAGGTACTGTTGTACTCTGGTCATAAAGAAAATGCATCACGCACACACAATGAATTGCTTTGACAATGTCCAAAGAAGGACGAAATACACTTATAGGATGGCAATCTCGTGGATCCAGAATAATCAAATTACCCTTCAAAACAAGGACAGAGGAGATCAAAATGAGTGTTATCCAATGTTATGCACCCACCAATGATAGCAATGATGACGACCAAGATCAGTTTTACGAGAGGCTGCAATCGATCATAGCGAAGTGCTCAGGAAAGAACCTGACCATCCAGACGGGAGACCTAAACGCCAAAGTTGTAATGGACAACACCGGGTGTGAAGATATTAAGGGATGACATGGACTGGGAGAAAGAAACCAGAATGGTGACAGATTTGCAAATCAATGTGCATTCATAAAAAATGGTTATAAGTGGCCCAATATTGCCACACAAACGCATACACAAAGCTACATGGGTCTCACCGAATTACACCACAGAGAATCAGATCGATCACATTTGTATCAATAATAAATTCCAAAGGACGATGGAAGATGTGAGAACCAGGAGAGGAGCTAACATAGCTTTGGAACACCACCTGTTGGTTGCCAAGATAAAAACGAAGCTAAAGAAGCATTGGACAAGTGGGAAAACAGCATTACAAAGGTCCAATACAGCCTTCCTTCGAGATACAAACAAAATCAACGAATTCAAGATAGCTCTCAAAACAGGTCCAAAGCCTTACAAGATCTTTTCAAAGAAGAAGAAACTACTATGGAGAACGACTGGAAAGGTATCAAAGAAGCACTAGCTTCGACGTGTCAGGGGGTTCTGGTTCGCAAGAAGCATCATCATTAGAAGTGGATCTCTATCGAAACCTTGGACAAGATTCAATAAAGGAAGAAAGAGAAGACAGCACTTAACGACAGCACTTAACGACAGCCGAACAAGAACAGAAAAAGTAGAGGCATAAGCCGAATATACAGAAGCAAACAAACAAGTGAAGAAGAGAATCGGATCTGACAAGCAGAGATGTGTGGAAGAGCTAGCGACGACAGCAGGAACTTCAAGAGAAGGAAACACGAAACAACTATGTGACACGACTAAAAAACTAGCAGGGAAATAAAGTAAACGAGAAAGATCAGTCAGACACAAAGGAGTAAAGGAAATCACTGAGAATCAGGAACAGAGGAGCAGATGAGTAGAACATTTTGTGGAACTAGTGAATAAATCAGCACCAGTGAACCTACCGCACATCGAACTAGCAAACAAAGACCTTCCTACAACGGTAGAAATAAGAATGGAAATCAGAAAAATCAAGAGTGAGAAAGCAGCAGGACATGACAATATATCATCTAAAGCACTGAAGACAGACATAAAAGTAAATACAAACATGCTACATGTTCTGTTCACGAAGATTTGGGAGGAAGAACATGTTATATCTTGTGGCCGAGTGGATGGGTAGTTGATGTGTGACTCGATAGAACCGCCAATTAGGGAGAGCGAATTCTCGGTTGGAACAGTGACACGAAACCCGTACGAGCAGCCTAGAGTGCTAACTGATCCTGCGATCTGCCTAACCCAGCCAGTTGAGTCCAGAACACAAATAACAGCCTCGGCAATATGGATCATTATTTACAAACATAATGGGTTTTTATACAAACTAAAGTAATCAATAACTGATTATAACTCAAGAATCGTATGATAATAAATCAAAGATCAAAATAAAGCTCATGATAAGAGAAACACAAATATGAATCGTTTAGTTACGTAACAATTGTACAATACGCACAATACATTGGTCGATAAATAGTCCTTGGAGTTACCATTCATAATTCACCAGGGGATATAACAGAACAAATGCAAGCAGATTGAAAAGATGGATGCCTTATCAAGATACCAAAAAAGGAGATCTGAGCAAATATGAGAACTATAGAGTCATCACACTACTATCGGTACCAGCAAACGTTTCCAAATGAGTCTTGCTGAACCGGATGAAAAATTCAACAGACGTCCAACGTCGAGATCAACAGTCTGGATTCCGTAAGGATCGGTCATGCACAGACCAAGTTGCCACAATAAGGATCGTCGTTGAACAATCAATTGAATGGAACTCGTCACTATACATCAACTTTCTTGGCTATAAGAAGGCATTCGACAGTACGGATAGGAAATCATTTTGGAACCCTCGTCGAAACTAAAGTTTACCTGAGAAAACCGTCTACATCATCTGGAATTCATACGATGGACTACACTGAAAAGCCCGCATGGATGACAGCTGACAGATGCATTCCAAGTAAGGACAGGTGTCAGACAAGGCTGCTTACTCTCGCCTTTTCTTTCTTCTAGTATTTGACTGAATTATGAAGACCTCCACATCTGAGGGAAAACATGGAATACAATGGACAATTTGGATGCAACTAGACGATTTGGACTTTGCAGATGACCTAACCCTTCTATCCCATACAAAAAAACAAACTCAGGTGATGACAGCCAGTGTACGATCAGTTTCTGCAGCAGTAGGTCTCAATATACACAAGGGGAAAGCAAGATCCACAAATACAACACGGAGAACTCCAACTCAATCACACGAGATGGAGAACCTCTGGGTCAGGTGGAAACTTTAACGTACCTGGTCATCATCGTCGATGTACAAGGAGGATCCGATGCAGATGTAAAGGCGAGCATTGGCAAAGCAAGAGCCACATTCCTACAATTGAAGAACATATGAAGCTCGAAACAACTCTCAGCAGACATCAAAGCCAGAATCTTGAATATGAAAGTCTAGACAGTCTTACTGTACGGAGGTGAAACTTGGAGAACGACTACAACCATCATCAAAAAAGTACAAGTATTTATAAACAGTTGTCTACAAACGATACTCAATTTCCGTTGACAATATACCACTAGCAACAGCCTACTATAGGAGAAAACATCACGGCTTAAATCTGAAGAAGAAATTAGGAAGAGACGTTGGAAGTGAATAGGAAATACATTACGGAAATCACGAGGCAAGTCCTAACTTGGAATCCTGAAGGGAAAGGAGGAGGGTTAAGAAACACACTGCGTCGGGAATCGGAAGGAGACATGAAAATTATGAATAGTAACTGGAAATAAGTGGAAAGAATTATCCAGGACAGAATTGGATGGAGAATGCTGGTGGGCGGCCTATGCTCCTCCACGAGGGTAACGAGAGTATTTAAGTAAGTATCCATCATGGTGTGAAAATCTGATAACCGCTATTTTAAATCTGATTGGTGGTTTGTTAGTAAAGTACACTTTTACCGACACTCATATTGTTTTTTTGGAAATTAATACAGTGAATATTAGGATATGACCGAATCGAATTCAATATACACTAGCCAGAAAAAGTAAATATAATCGTTTCTCACTTTGATATCATTGATTACGTCTTCTTGTGAAGTTAACAAGACACCTTCAGGTGATTCATGTCCAACAACTGGCAGCACGATTTCAGATATACGAAGACCTAGTGAAATTATACGCTCGATAACATTTACTCCATTGATTTGTTTGAACAAGGATCTATGAGAAAGTAGTTTTTTTTTCAAATAACATTAAAATATCTGGTTATTATCACCTGAGTCACTTCTTAATAGAGAACTATAATAGTATTCCATCTTCTGTTTTTACTTGTAAAGTTCCTTAATGTCATTTATCTGATAGTGTCAAAAGGATTTTTAGTAGGAATTATGTATGTTTTTGAAAAGTTTAAATATCATGGTGTATGGCCATAGTTCTTACAAAATCGTATGAATCAATAATAGTCACAGATACGTTATGGTCCATAAATTATTGCATACAACGGACTAAAAACTTAAATTATAAGTACCTAGCATGTTACTATCTCGAGGCTTCAAAGTTGACTACATAAATTATGTCTAGAGGGATGATTCAATTTTAATATTAGAAGCGCATAGGCAGAAGACTGAATTCAGCTCCTTCTTGGTTAACCTAGCATGGCAAAACCAAATAATTAGATACACAAATCATATATATATATATATATATATATATATATATATAAATGACTCAGCTAAAGAGATATAGGTTGAGAATAGGAGCACAAGAGACTACTTTCAACAGCATATCTCATCTGTTTTTTTCATCTACATGTGAGTACAAGCATCAGTCAGTCAGTCAGTCAGCTACAACGTAGGACCACGCACATATATGCATCGGTCCAAGTTGCCATACCTCGTTAGCACAACAAGAGGAACACCGGATTCATAGAAGTAATTAATTTACTGGTGGTAGTAGTATATAAATTATAGGTTGTATATAAGGATATAGTACAGGAAGGAAGAGAGATATGAAGCAATTTTAGTCTCAAGGTTTAAGGGAAGATAAAGAGTGTATACACCTACGCCATTGTGACCGATTATGAGCCATGTCACCTAGAGTCTCCAACCATTGGTTACGATAGTCACGCGGACCCCAACCAGGTAGTCTGCATCTGCCAACATGGCTCAGGCTAGAAGTTAGTGACTTCAAACACTGATGCCATGTTTTGGTTTGGCCGCCCCTAACTCTCTTCCAACCGTCCCCAATACTAGTCATCATAGCGCGTCGTGGTGTTCAGGCATACGTAACACATGGCCCAACCATCTCAGTCGATGAAGATTCATCACCTCATCAACTGATTTACCATCGTTCCCTAATACCCTGCGTCTAACCTCACTATTACTTACCCGGTTATCACAGCAGATGCGAGCAATATTTCTAAGGTATCTGTGGTCAAATACTAGTAACCTACGAGTATCTTCTCTTAATGGCCATGTTTCACAGCCGTAAAGTAGAACAGAGCGAACTGATGCGCAGTATACTCGTCCTTTAATTGATAGACGGATATCTCGTCTACGCCATAGGTGACGTAAGTTGGCAAAAGCCAAACGAGCTTTTCGAATCCGTGCTGAGATTTCGTCTGACACCAACCCATTAGAGCTGATCAGACTTCCAAGATAAGTGAAGTTGTTGACGCGTTCGACTACTTCACTCCCTATCCTTAGTTCGGGTGTTGACGCAGGCCAGTCCTGGAGTAACAATTTACATTTAGATGGGGAGAAACGCATCCCAAACATCCTGGCATTATTACTGAGTTCCAACAGAAGACTCTGCATTTTGCCAGCGTCTTCACCAAACAGGACTATGTCATCTGCGTATTCTAAGTCGCTTAGTGGTCCCCCTAGTAGGAGATCAATTCCTGTAGATTCAGTCGAAGAGAGTGTTATTTCCAGCAACAGGTCTATAATGAAGTTAAACAAAAATGGGGATAGTGGACAGCCTTGACAAACACCACTTGAGGTTGTAAAATCATATGACAGTTCGCCATAAGCTCTCACTCGACTAATAGTGTTCGAGTAAAGAGCCTTCAAAAGGTTTATGTACTTCTCAGGTACACCTTCCAATGACAGACACTGCCACAGAACCTCTCGGTCTACAGAGTCAAATGCTGCTTTCAAGTCAAGAAAAACTATCATTGTCGGACGCCGATAAGCGTGTCTGTGCTCTAAAACTTGACGAATGGTGAATATGTGGTCGATACAGCCACGACCAGGTCTGAAGCCAGCCTGATTTTCTCGTGTTTGCAGTTCACGAGTCTTAGTTAGGCGCCCGATAATTATTGAGGCTAGTATTTTAGATGCTATGTTGGTCAGACTAATCCCTCTATGGTTATCGCAGGATGATTTTGACCCCTTTTTATATATTGGGACAATCAGTGATTGTGACCAGTCGGATGGGATTACATCCGTCTCCCAGATTTTAGCCAGAATATTAGTCAACCTAATCGCTAAAATTGGACCACCGTATTTAAAAACCTCTGGAGCCAATCCATCAGGACCAGATGCTCTTCCTCGTTTCAGATTACCTATAGCCTTTTGAACTTCAAGTAGGGTCGGGGGGCCTACTTCAATGTTCCATTCAGGTTTTCTGGGAATAGTGGGCAGTTGTGCAGTAGCTGAAGGCCAGCTAAACTACTCCTTAAAGTGTTCCGCCCATCGTTCTAAACGTTTAGGTTGAGAGCAGATAAGGGTTCCGTCTTTTTCGGAGATTGTCTCACTTACACTTGACTTCTTAATTCCGGTTTCTTTTATTAGTCTGAATAGTTGCCTGGTGTTCCCTACAGCCGCTGCCTTTTCCATCTCTTTTGCTTTCGTTGCCCACCACTGCTCACGACCGTTCCTTAGACTTTTAGTTAACCTAGATCTAATTTCTTTACGCTCTTCGTCATGTTCAGAGCCTGATGGGATGAGTTCACGCGAATCCATCAGTGAAATAGACTTAGAGGAAATCCACTGGTTTTTTGGAGCTCTATGGTTTAAATGACTAATAGATGTTACTGCTGTTTCCACAGCTGTTCGTGTGTCTTTCCAAGCAGCATCTGGGTCAGTCTCAATTACAGAACTGCCTAGATGTGAACTCAGTTGCTTCTGGAATTCGCATTTGGCTTTCTCGTCCTCCAGTTCAATCCTAATGGGTCTTCTTAGTGTACTTTTTCTGCGTCCATTGAGGCGCAGACAAATGCGCGCTCGTATTAAAGCGTGATCAGAGTCTAAACAAGTATTCCAATACGAGCGACAATCTTCTATTGAGCCTCTCCAACGATGACTGATGACAATATGGTCTATTTGAGTCCATCGTTGGTTTGGTGCAGGTGGTCGCCATGTTAGACGATGTCTCTCCTTATGTTTAAAATTAGTGCTTGCTAAAAATAAACGACTGTCTGAGCATAGTTGCAACAGACGATCCCCATTATCGGTTCGTTGAGCCGGAATACTAAAACACCCACCTAAATGTCTTTCTGTTTGATTTAAGCTGCCTACCTGGGCATTAAAGTCACCCGCTACGACTACTATGTCTGAGGGTTTAGCTTTCTGAAGAAGCTCAGAGAGTTTTCTGTAGAAGTCATTTTTTACTTCATCATGGCTCCAGTCAGTGGGAGCGTAGGCAGAAACGACGAAAAGGCAACGACGTGTGTCCCTATCCTTCCGAGTTCTTATGGAGCCATTTATCCGGACAGCACACTGGCGACTGTTAACGGGGATCCATTCTAGTAGTGCCTGTTCTGCCCTTGTACTTAGTGCTATGCCTACACCTGCAAGTCCACGAGAACTAGCCAACGGGTCGCCAGATACACGGAGGGTATATTTCGTTGGCTGTCCATTTTGGCGAGGTGAGGTCAAGTGAATGACCACACTAGGATCCTGTATGCTTGTTTCGGAGACATAGCATACATCAATGGTACGAGATTCTAGGGTTTTAGCTAAGGAGGCCTGTTGACCGATTTGACATTGGGTACGTACGTTGAAGGCTCCAATGTGTAGTTTGGAGCGAGGTTTTAGTAGATTTGGGACAGCGTTTTGCGCACTAGAATCGTTGGCCATGGTGACACTTGAGGAGGAAAACGAGAGAGGAAGTTTAGTGTTGAAAGTCAAGGTAGAAGGAATAGTAGGAAGTGAAGAAGGAGATTGATTATGAATACAGTGGTCTTGAGTGTTGTTAGAGGTATGAGGACAGTTATCACTTCCCGGTTGCCCACACCGTGGAAGGATTCTTCTAGAGGTACTTGAAAAGGAAATTGGGTTAGGAGTGGTCTTAATGACCTGAGAGCGTGACCGCAGTGCCCAAGGGACAACTACTTGAGGTCGGTCACACACGACCATTTTGTGGGTAGTTTTTGTGTTAACTCCGTTCTTCAAAAAAACCTTACCGCCGGAGACGGATATCCGTGGGATAAGGCGATGTGTGCATTTTTAGGGTCGACCTTTTCTAACCCCACCCCTCCTTGTGGGAAGGCAGCATCGCTTTCATGCTGGTTGTCTGAAGGAAACACCTTAGTGCCTTCACACCTCTGTACAGTCAGCAGTACGACTTCGCCTTCGGACCTTGGGTTTGCTGCTTTTAGTCTCACCGCTCTTCAACCGACAAGTCTGGCATGGTAGGACCTCGAGGAACGACTGTTCCAGCCAGCATAGCTCGATTGCTTCATCACGATAGGCAAGCCCGACCACCACGTCAAGGTAGCAGCAACGATCGGGGAGTACAAGCATATGGTATGTTTAGACAATCATAGCCTTTGACATACTCAAGTAAGTCAGGTAATAATGCAATTATTATGTGCTTATCTCCGCAACTATTTTTTTGATTTACTTTAAATTCATACGTCGAAATTGTTTAACATGACGTAATGATTTAGGAAGTAGGCTGTAACTCATTTATGAAATGCAACCAAACTGTTTATTTGTATGAAGGTTAGTGATAGTAACCTGAAATATAGAAAACGAAATATATGGACAGTCATTTAAACGTGTTCTGTGACTACTTCTTAGAACTGTTCACGCATATATACATAACAGATTAATACACAATAATTCAGGTGTAATTAAGCGCATGATATGCCCTCTTAGATAGAGTTAAAACCTAACAATCCAAATTCCCAACTTCAGTTGATATTTGTCAATATTATGCAGTCAATCAATTCAGAAATTTCAAAGTTTAAGGATAGTGTTTTTTCCAAGATCGTCGTTTCAGTTTTGTGACGATTATTGTTGCACAATAACATCAAAATAAGACGAAATGTATTTAACTACGGTTTCATGATGATGATAATGATAAGTGGTTAGTGTTTCATTCAACATCTTACAGTGAATGACCACATCTTAGGGTAATCTTACGAATGACAATTTAAAAATGAAAATGAAAAATACACAAATTAAAGAGAAAAACATACTCTGCCTTAATTGATGCACTACTCCAAGTTTGAGTATCGGTAGGTTTATTTTTCTTACTCAATGGTGATGATAATGAGGTGACACCAATAACAGAATGGATAGTACTAAGTATAGCATAAAATGGTTTATTAGTTACCACAGACATTAAACCAATTACTGGTAATTTTTCACAAATTGCAATTTGTTCTTGAAGTTGATTGAGAAGGAAATCAATTGCTTGTATAGCTTTCTCATCTACAGACGATGAAGATGAAGGCAACTGGTTCGATTCATCGACATTCTCATTACCATATATAAGAAAACGTAATATATCACCAGCAATAGGACTGACATCCGGTTTGGAACTTTGAGCATAGATTTCTAGTGCATCAGTCCATAATTTATTGATATAATTAGGATTCTGAAATGAAAAGGAATGTGATGGAGTAGAAAGACCAATAAATTAAGATTTACACTGCATAAATTGTATTATACGTAAACTGAGAGTAGGGGAGTAAGGTTGTGTGGAATATTTTTTTTGAAGAAAGCAGAACCATGCGACATATTTAATTAAGTTTTGAAATGAAAACAATGGAGAAAAGTGTTACTGTTTTTAGAATGAAACCAAGATATGGCATCAAGCCATGAAACCATTGAATATTGGCATGAGTAATGTTGATAAATGCAAACAATCTAGTTGAGGTACATACGATTATCATGAAAAACGACAGATGTTGATTGACACGGCTCAGAATTGATCATAATGGAACAAATGTATTCACTTTCTATTTTCCTTTAGATCTTGGATTACGGTTATGTCTAATATATGCTTTTTTATTCCTTGTCGAAACATATTCTTTATATTTAGTCTTTCATACTATTATTTTTACAGAGATTATTTTCACACCTTTATTGTTCATCTTGTTCACTTCATATTGTTGTGTTAATTTGATCATAGTAATATGAACCAATGAATATTTTTCTGTCAAGTTCTATGTTGAAATTACGTCATCCGCTTGAAATACATGTATTTTTATATGGGTTAGCTAAACCATGGATTTCAATATAGTGTTATAATTAAGTACCTGCTGAGTACTTACTGAAGTCTACAGTTTACCGTGAAACAGTAAAACAGTCTTAGTGTTGGATACATTTTAGCTGAGAGGTGAGAAAACTGGCTCACAAGATCATGAGGTAGTGAACAGAAGTAGGATAACTTAAATGTATCCTGGGGGGGGGCTTGGTGTTTGGAATCAAAAGGAATCTGGTTTGTCATTGACTTATGAAACTTAACTTGTGCCATTGAAGCTTACAAATGATTTCACTATGATCTTCTCAGCAAAACAGTTATTAGATTTTGACATAAAAGAATGGATTTGTCATGACATTTTAAATATTTTAGGACGTCTAAGCTACAGTTTAACTTACTGTTCTATTTTATTTGAATATATTGGGTTAAGTTATCATGATCATAAGATGGGACCAATAGACATTCAAAATGACAACAGCTTGAATAGAACGCTTTACAAAACATGCAACATTGACTGCATTCTATTCGTAATCAAAAATATCATGGATTTCAAATGCTTTTCTGTTAAGAGTCAACTTATAAATAAGCGTTCCTCATATATATGAACTTCAATAAATCAAAATGCAGATCTTGAATGACTGACATGACGCTACAACACGTTACGTTAAACAGATGATTTCTGATGGGAACGTACAGATGTAGAACTATGCATAGTTGCATCCAGCATTTTATTGATAAGGTAGCATAATAGAACTATGATTACATTGGTGAATATTGGCTTTATTAATAAGTAAATTACGTATTTTTATCAATCAAAGCTATTTTACCGATGTGTAGTTGAGGTTCACCTGACATAATACCTGTATTCACAAGGTTTGTTGATAGAACGGTTTATCCATCTCTATTTTATAATCTGATCAGTTATAGGTATACAAAATGATACTTATAAGCTCTTTTCCGGCATTTAATTATTGTATCATTCAATAGTACTAGTGTTTTAAAATAAACTACATTCAGTTTTCATGAATTCCTGACACTTTAATGAAGCTATATCTCGCGATTAGTCGTTTGGACCATTATCATGTATGTTAGATAGTAATTATTTGGTTCTTTGTAGGTTGAGCATGGAGAGGACTTCGATAAAATTCGAACCAATTCAAAAATAAAAACTTCTGCTTCAGTATTCTAATTAACAGTCATCTTTGGAAACTTATTCTTTTTTCGGTCAGTTCTAATTAGGATTAATTTTAATTGAATGTAGTTGTGCCTCAGCTTTTCAGTTCCACTTCTATTTTATCTTAAATATTGTTGAATTTAAATAAGGCTGTAAAATCTAAGCAAGTAGCTAATTAACATAACAACGAATTAAATAGAAGTAAGGACACATGTGCACTAAACTTAATAGTAATAAATATGCACACAAGAACAGATACCACTTGTTTTAATAATTATGTGTAGTATCGTTTAGGAAACGGTTATAAAAACCAACTTACAAGTTGTTTTAAAATACCCAATCTCAGTAGTATTTTCAAAACATAATCTCGGTCAACATCATATCGACTGCATAAACCAGTGAAAAGAAGAGGAAGCAACTCAGACGTTGAACAACCGATTAGTTTAAAATTTTCATCGTTAAATGAAGATATTCTATGTAATTTTTCAGCTGCTTCAATTAAACAACCCATAATTTGTGCCGTGAACTCTTCAGAATTTAAAACAAAGTGATAATAAGTTACAAAATTATTATTATTATTTACAAAGAAGAAAACATGACCAATTAAAAAAGCATATGAGTCGATTATAAATTGTTGATGTTTATCATAAACAAATGAAATTTAAGTTGGAGATCTCTAGTCCACTGATTTAGACTGTTACAATCATGGATGATTATTGTCAGTACTATAGACATAACGAAAATACATTTATTTCCATTTCAGAACAAACTTCCATACCCAAAAAGAAACCTATATGGTTGGTAGAACGACGTAGGTATGGCTTAAGTTTGGTAAAATATAATCGAGTACAAAGATGATGAGTGTTCCCGTTTACTTATTTATTTAAACACATAGATGTTTGTACAAAGAGGCACCAAAGAGATATGGGCCACATAAATCATTCCCGATGGAGGTGTTTTTACGAAATTGAGAGGACAAAAACCGAATTTCCGACGCTTGAATCGGGTTGGTGGATATGGAGGATCAACCTAAGGGAGTTAGAAAACCGTGATCCCAAAACAATGTTGCACATGGGCTCCAGGATCCTAAGGGAACAAATGTCGTATGAAATTATTGTTGGTCACCGACTACCATAGGACCGCATCTCGAAACGTCGCTCCATTGCCACTGCCTTTAGGTCAACCTTTAGGTCGAAAGTTCCTGATGTGGCCCCCTAAGAAAACTATCTGCTTCTGTTTGGACACTCGAGCAGTATCCCAGCCCTCACACAAATCGAATGAAGTGTTCCCGTCTTACAACACCATGTTAAACAGACTCACCATGTTTTATGCATACTATTAAAGTGGCTTTCAAATGATATAAAGTTTTCTGATGTTAAGATTGAGTGATTAAATCGCAAAAATGATCAATTTTTTACATGATACCAGCTTACATAGCCTATTCTATGGCTAGCCTAATTACTGTCGTTACTTAGCAAACGTTTTACTGAATAAGTGAGACAATGACAGTGGATGTCTACAGATTGAACTCGTCTGATGCATAGAGATCGTTCATTTTGGCGAGTTAGAAAACATTGATTCTAAGTAGATGGTTTAGATTTCAAGGTTGATATACAGTTACTTTATAGTTTGAGAGTAACATAACACACCAACATACTAAGTGTTTTCCTCATTAATTAAAATGTTAAATGAGTGTATAACACCAAAAATCACATTATAAAAACTACAAAATAAAAATGTTACCTGAATAACCATCGGTATGAAACACAGAATAAAAGCATTCAACAACTGTGTATAACCCAGCTAAGCCTAATGATAAACGAGATGCTGGTGATCCAGGATAAACACATGTCATTAAGATATGAACCAGTTTAACATGAAACGACTGAAGAAAAAGAACAGTAGGATGAGCATTTTTCTTTTTGAAAACACTGACGTCAACAAATATACGTAGAGATAAATTTAGAAGTAATAAAATAGCAAGGAAACCTGAACCATTTATGCAGTACTATTCTAATACATTATTTGTAGGCTGGACAATCCAAAGCATATTATGCGCTTGTGATGTCATGGCCTCTCAAAGTCAAACGGTAAGTGAGGAATTATAGAGGAGGTAGGCTACTGATGAAAATCGATTATATACCAGTTCAACGTCTCAGGATATTTGTCATTGTATACACCCATGATTTGTATTGTATTGTATTTTCGTTCGGCAATTAAAGCTTTACACTGAATTCAGTCTTCTCGTTTACATAAGCGGTTCAGTACACAGTAAGAAATGCATACCGTAGCTGAATCAGATGGTAAAATACAATAGTTACATTTAAGAGGTTGTATACATTATTAGTTTAGAGCATTTGTGAAAATTGATAGTTTTTAGTTTACACAATCGATTGACTTTGGTTAGGTAAATATTGAAAACTGTGAAGTACTTGAAAGTTTGTCGGCTTAGTATAAAACTGCACAGAACTATACATTCACAACTCTATAATGGACAAAACATAAGATCTTTCAGTTAGAATGAAAACCGCTTTCAGACACTACGAGGTCTGAACATAAAGAATACTCAGTGAACTTATACATAGCTTGAAAACGAAGTTCTCAATGTTTTGTTGTAAAACCGAGACTTAAGTTATCAACCGTGTTCGTATTGAGACAGGAGCACACCATTGACATATGATAACGATATTATCGTGACTACTGATAGCATTGGAGGACGGTTCAGTGGCTAAGGTGTTCGACTTTCACTCTAAGCTCGAACCCCGCTTCACCTATTCCGTTTCGGCAACTATGTAAAGTAACTAAGCTTTATGCTTATAGACTGGCTCTTAGCCAAGTACACGAATCTATCCATGTTAAACGGATTTACAAATATTGAAACCCTATCATGGTCACAGCAAAACGTGTGCATCCTATGCTGGAACTTGTGTGTGATTGTAAATGTGCACATAAATGAAGAAAATAAACAAGGAAACAGCATAGAAACATAGTTGTAAGTTGAAGAATGAACTGATTGTGTTGAAAAGAGAGTAAAAACAGATCAAACGTCAAGAAATAGAAAACTTGGAAATATTAAAATGTATCTCAAGCTAATTATTACTATGGATAAGCACTGTGAATTTATTAAAAACAAAAAATCTACGACACCGCATTCAACTTACTTTAACATCATCTAATTTGGTAGTGTTTGTTTCACGTTTCATAAGTAAAAGTGTATGCAACAAAATCTGTCAGTGTAATAAATTTAATAAAACAAAAAAATGATTTCATCAAAAGTACTATTTTCATATATCAACGTAAATATTCATTGATGATTATTTTGAAAGATACATTAAGATATAATAACTGATTCCATTCTATTCTCAATATCTTTTATTGGTGACTAATTGAAATTTATACAACTTAACACCGTTGGATGCCAGCTCAGTGGTCTATCGGTTAAGGGCTCCGGCTTGAGACTGGTAGGTTCTGGGTTCGAATCTCGCGAGTGCGGGATCGTGGATGCGCACTGCTGAGGAGTCCCATAATAGGACGAAATAGCCGTCCAGCGCTTCCAGGTTTTCGATGATGGTCTAGCTTCAATTGACTCATGATTTCAACTGTGAAAATTATAAACTGCCTAAGAAACTGTGTACCATAATCATATAACAGGATAATTTACTATGATCTAATGACTGAGATATGTGCTCAACTGTAAATACTCAATCAACATATGTATTGTAAATTAGAAAAATGAAGTTATGAACGCATTACTTTGCAAAATTTTAATTACATTGGTCTTGAACTTTCTCAAAATATTTTTTTCATTTGTGGTATAAACAATATTTATTACATCCACGACTCCTGTTTTTTTTAAGGATTCCTAGAAGTCCTCAAGGCCTCGTCGTCTTAATATTCATCCAGTGTCTGTCTTGTACGATCATTTTGCATTTTGAGCACGAAACCAATCTTAAAAGTTTAATTCTACACTGCGATGGTCTGTTGCCACATTTTCGCCCCCAAATGTCTTGGTACGGTCAACTGTCGGGAAAGTCCCCTTTCCCTCTCGAAAGCTCTCATGTGGCTACGCGTATACAACCGCTGTCGGGTAAGTCCCACTTACTGCCTTCACGCAGTGGGGGTGTTGTTTACAAAATCGAGAGGACAAAATGCAAATGTCTGATGCTTTAATCGGGTTGGTGGATATGAAGGATTCACCTAGAGGAGTTGGAAAACCCTAATTCTAAACGAATGGGTTAATTGGGCTCTAGGATCCTGAGGGAACAAAAGGTGTATGAACCTATTGTTGGTCACCGGCTATGGGACTGTATCTCTTTATGTTGTTCCACTGACTTATGGATTAGACCTCTAGGTCAAAGGCTCGGGGTGTTTGACCCTAAGGAAACCATCTACTTAGGTTCGGGAGCCCGGGCAGTACTCTCGCCTTCACACAAATCGAATGATTTGTGTGGCGCATACATATACAAAGCAGTCTCAGTAGCTTAAATCACTGCATCTATTGGACAAATACTGTTTAAGATAGAAGGATGGGAAACAAGGAGAAACACAAACAAACTTACATCTTTAATTGCACTGACAATTTGGCCATGTATACGCTTTGAATCTGGCCACAAATCATGCCTGAGATAATTAAGAAACATTTCCGACTTTTCGTTTGATAAGATCATTTTTTGTTCGGACTTTGTAATTAAACTTACTAAAACGTTTAAAGCTAAAAGACGTAACTTGATTTTCAAATAAAAAGCAATGAGATAAAAAAAACTTTTAGAAATTTCTTGTGTATTCAGACGTAAAAAGAATTGTAAACAGGTAAATTTAATTAGAGAATATTGCCACGATTCCGGTTTACTTTTGGTTTTTATGTGATATTCCTTATATAAAATCAGGATAAGATATGGATTATTGTATGATAACTGAGAGTTAACCACGAAACCCGACAATCCTGATTTTGATATCACGTGGAATCCTAGATGTCCACTTCCATATTAAGACGAAACAACTGTAAAACGTTTCCTGATTTTTAATGATAACCTCACTAAGGTCTATATTCATGATGTAAAAGTACAAAGGCATTTCATATAAACACGAAATTCAGAGATAATTCTTAAACAGAGGACTGACATAGGTTGAAAAGCAACGAGTAGCCAATATTCCCTCTTTAAAAAAACGAATTACCACCGTGTTTGCGAAAAACAGAGAACATTAAATCTGTTGTGCAGAGTTTTTGAACGATGATGAAATATTAGTTGGGTGAAGTTTGTTGAATGATAAAGTAACTTAATACATCTCATTTTAATGATAGCCATCAGTAATGGTTAATTATTTCGACTTTCAGCCACTAAATCATAGGTTCGAACACCGTTCGGGCTTGAATCTATGCTAGAGATAGCATGATAATTAGAGGTCATTGTTATTAAAAGTTAGTCACTGCACAAATGATTGGCTATTATATCCATCTTAAAACAATAATAACCGATTCTAACATTTTTAAGCTATTTATATTATTGGGCGACAAGTGTGAGTGCCAAAGCAGCAGGCGTAAAAATTATATATATATATATATATATATATATATATATATATATATATATATATATATATATATATATATATAATATATATATATATGCACACAGTTATATAATATACACTTACCTGATTATCATATAAGCCAAGACATGCTTTTAAGAAATTTAACGACAAGTATTCACAGTAGTCAAGTTTCATTCCATTCAATGATAAAAGATGATAACAAGTTAGTAGAAACGTAGGTAAATCAGTATCCATTTTAACTGCTGCGAAACAAACAAAATGAGGGAAAGGAAAGGAAAACTACTGTATGAGTGAATTTTTTTATTTAAAGACTTGAAAAAATGGAGACTCTTATAACATAGACCTTATGAGATTGTGACTTTTCGGTTTAAAACACATTCCATTTTATATACAATTGATTGGTCACTGAACAGTAGCCAATATCATGTTTGCCTAGGTTTTTAGAGTTAATCGAATTCTATTGACCAAGTTGTAATAGTGTAGTCACGAGTCTGAGTGACTTTTCATGGAGGGTAATATTTCAAGATGCTTTATGGTTGGAGGTATTAGGGAAGAGATGATGCTTCCAATAGGTTTCACACTACTTAGCCATTAAAGAAAGTGGCGCTCCTTGAAGGATTCAGACCAGCATCATACATATTTAGTGGACTGAACACCTCAGCGGTACTGTAGTGAACGAAAACTTAGGTAGGGTAAGCCATTTATTCTTCAATATAAAACTACTGGCTGCCTTCGTAAAGAATGAAAACCATACATTAAATACATTATTTGCACATCTTCCTTCGGTTGTTCAGTACATGCCTCATAATTCTTTCAATTTAACTTCTATCACAGTTGCTCTGTGTCCCTTTCTGTTTTTTTCTCAATTCAATCTTCTTAATCTTCTGCTAGCAGTCATTCCACTTTCGACTGTTGCTACCTACTACTTACATCTGTCAGCATAAGTAGGATGCACCACGGTAGCATTTCAGACTGTGAAACTAGGATGCGAGCTCGAGTTAACCAAGAGATATAAGTTTTCTCCATATTCCACGTACATCATCTGGACAAAAATTAATCAACACGAAACCTAGAGTTTCCTGCTGAATATCTCCGACCACCTAACAGTTGTCAGCGAGCTCTGAATGTAGGACTAAGCATACATTTATATGAATCATTTCAATGTTGGTCACATTTCATATCAGCACGGTGAAGAAAGAAAATTTACAAAATGTAGAGCAAAAAGCTATCGTACGTTAAATATCGTGAGCAAAGTTTAGAAGATGAAATAAAATTACGGGCATCACTGTTACCTAACTGCGATGTAGTCAACGGTACTCACAACAAGTGAGTGAAATTTTCTCGTAGAGAAAAGGACAAGAACGATTCAATTCCTAAGAATTCTTAGTGTACTGGCAACAGAATGCTTGGTTTGAGCTGCCTATTTGGTTAGCTAGCATACGATGTTTGGTGGTTGAAGAAACGCCTAACAAGTAATTGAAACATCGTTTTACTCGGCGACCTTATTAACTCTATCGAAATCTTCACTACATTATGTTACGCATATTCATCTTTAATCACCCTCGTATGTATAAGTATATCAATATCTGTAATAACGTTGATTTTCAAACATTTTACGTTGTAAGCAGCTGATGAGAACCTAACCAAATAAAATAAATTCATATTATTCTGTACCAGTCTTTGTTCTTGTTCCCTTTAAGATAATAAAGCGAAATATGTGTATGAAATTATAAAAACCAGTTAAAATAGCGAGCACTAGAAACAAAAGAAATGCTTTGCTCCCAAAAGCCCTGGTACGGCCGAGAGTGGGGAGAGTCCACTCTCCTTCTCGAAATGCCCTCACATGGCCACGCGAATATATAGCCTCTGTCGGGGAAGTCCTACTTACTGCCTTCTCGTGGCGGGGGTGTTGTTCACGAAATCGAGAGGACGAAAAGTGAATGTCCGGCGCTTTAACCGTGTTGGTGAACACGGAGGGTCCACATAGGGGAATTGGAAAACCCTTCTTCCAAACCAATGGTGCACATGGGCTCCAGTATACTGAAGGAACAAATGGCGTATGAACCTGTTGTTGGTCACCGGCTACCATGGGACTGCATCTCCTTAAGATGCTCCAATGCCTTGTGGGTTAGACCTCTAGGTCAAAGGCTCGGGGTGTAGCCTCCTAAGAAAACCACCTGCTTCAGTCTGGGCACCTGGGCAGTATCACAGCCCTCATACAAATCAAATGAGATTTGTGCGGCTCATATATATCTGGTGCCCCCCAATACCAATATATATGTGTTTAAATAAATAATAATTAATAAGAAACAAAATAAAACAACTACCTGAGTCATTGTTGCAACGTTTTACGAGTAATTCCAACAATTTAGGATTGGTTTTCACTAAACTAGGTAGAATATTCTAATGCCAAAAGAAATAGAAGTAAAATAAATCTACATGAAAACGTCTTAGTGGAGATTGATTTCATTTGTAGGATGGATAGCGCCCGAATGCCCTGGTATGGCCAATAGTGGAGAGGACCCTCCCTCTAGCTCGAAATGCTCCCACACAGTCACACGTATACAGCTTCTGCCAGGGAAGTTCTACTCACTGCCTTCTTGTGGCAATACTGTTTTTAACGAAATTGAAAGAACGAGAAGCGAATGTCCAGCGCTTTAACTGGGCGGGTGGACACGGTGAGTCCGCCTGGGGCAGTTGGGAAACCCTGACCCCGAACCAATGGTGCATATTGGGTCCAGTACTCTGATGGGACAAATGTCGTATGAACCTATTGTTTGTCACCAGCTACCATTGGACTGTATCTCCTCACGATGCTTCACTGCCTTGTGGATTGAACCTTTAAGTCAAAGGCTCGGGGTGTGGCCCCCTAAGAAAACTACCTGCATCGGTCTGAGCACCCGGGAAGTATCATAGCCCTCACACAATTAAAACGAAGTGACATTTTTTTGTGTGGCGCATATATATCTGGTGCCCCCTTGTACAATATTTATGTGTTCAAATAATAACAATAATAATAATAATATTAATATCAGAATGGGGTTTTGTGGAGATTTTAGTAATTTTATAAAGCTTATATGTATATATATAGTTTATATTCTATATAGTTAGTAATAATAGTAATGTGGGATGGATTGATCTTAATTAGAATACCATGTTTGGAATGAAAGTTGTCACCAATATTAACAAATAACCATCAAGATATATCGCAAATTGATTGAAATCCAAATTGTATTGGTGGAAAAAGTGTTTATAGTGAGGCCTGAAGGTTTTAAGTTTGATCTCTGGTAGGATCTAGATGTACACTGTAACTGAGGTGTCCTATACTGCCCAATGTACCCACCCATAGTATCCCGACTGATATCACACTAAGAAGGATACAACAGTTTAGGAAAACAAATTATTTAATTACTAATTATTTTAATTTTATTGAACAACGTACTACCTTTTTTAAAGTAAGTGGATAAATCTCAACGATTTATTCTTCAGGATCAGTTTCGAAATCGACAGTAGTTAATTATTGCTTTATTTACAGATTATACTACTGTGAAGGAAATAAATAGATTATAGTAAAACTCTGATCAAAATTCTTTTAGCATTTTATTAATCAGGTTTATTACTAACAATCCGCTTCCATAAAATCGGTATGACATATCACCAACTATAATGATTCAGAATGAAACCTATGCAAAGCAGACAACTATGAACTTTGGTGAAAAGAGACCACATTGTTATTAATGTGGACAAAAGTAAATTATACTGACGAGCTGGTTAATTTTAGAACAGATAATCTTGGATATACGTGAGAAATTTGAAGTGCAATGATGGATGGCTGATAACGTAACAAGAGCCAAGTAAAACCTAGCAATATTTTGCTATTAAGATGCTTGAAATTGTTAAACATGACAAGATTAAAGAACAGGAAAGGACTTGGGCCACGCTTAAGATTAACAATCAAAAAAGTGATTAGTTATTTATTTAAAGAGGAAATAATAGAACACAAATAGGGTTAAAATGTACATAACATGTTAAAATAACTTATAAACTTTCCATGGCAACTTAAAAGGTTTCGAGGCTTCAATTTGTAGAACTATCTGCATATATGTGTTTATCATTGTAAAGCATTTTCTTATTACAACTCCAACCTTAACCCAATTATTTTCCCATTGATTATAATCAATAATTTAATATGTAAACATTTGTTTATCATTTTAAAACTTCAGCCATTATAGTCTTAAAACTTTGATAACTAAGCATTGTCTCCTAACTGGCTGATTTGTTGTTCGAGATCAGTGGTATACTTCCCTTCTACAATTCATATGAATTTATAACAAAGGATATACGGATCAATGATAAAAAGAAAACATTTACCTGAATAACTGTAGAATGAAATGTTTCGTTAGAGTTACGAATAAAAGTATCGACTAAACCAGATAACCATACATTAATTAATGGGTCATTCTCAATGTACAAGTTTTGAGTAATTAATGTGTAGAATTCCGATATCTATGTAGGCAAATAGTAAGTCATACATGCATAATCTTTAAATTATAATAAAATAGTCAATGTAATTATTGAAAGGTTGTTTATTTCTTGTAAAACCTTTCATTTACAAATGTTTATTTCATAATAATTTGAAGTCATGTATTGAAATCGAAAATTAACCTTTTTTTCTTTATAAGAAAAGATGGACCAAATCATTTACCGAATACACGTTTATGCATTTGCCTTGAAGTGTCATATAGTTTGTGTGAGAGGGTTAGTGAAATTTTAAAAAACTTCGTTTTCTCCTTCATTAACACATTTGCCATGTACATATTAGTCTACTTGGCTTTCAGCCACACTCCAAGTATGAAAGATAGTGATGCTACCTAGTTGTTCAAGAAGTGGGGAGGGGTTCGAACCTGCGACCTGACAACTGAAATGTGACTGAACTAATAAGCTATTGCTCATTTTTGGTCTGACTGAAACGTTCTCCATAGTTTCGAATGCTTACAATGCATTTTTTCTCGATGTGCAGATCATCGATGTGTACAGGTTACTCATGCTGTAGGAATCAATACTTTAATACATCTAAAATAGATTCAGAATTATACTTACTGTTCTTCTTTAATCCGGTTGCATGGACGAAATCAAAGTGTAAAATGTGAATGAGTCGATTCGTATAAATAATTATGTTGACGGTGTTCTACAGATTTTTATTTGTTCATTGAAGAAGCTTATGATTGAACAGTTATAGTCCATAATCCTGATACCACGAAGGTTACATTGATGGCAAGTCTGCCCAAACAAACAGACATATTAGCGTAGCATCTTTGATAAAAACTGTATAAATTCACGTTTTTAAATTCGAGACAGGAGTGAAGAAAATCCATTAACAAAAGCCACATGAATAATCCACTGAGAAAAAACACTGATGTCATAATATTACTGATACACATGAAAAAACTTCCTTTTTGAAAATGAAGTGAAACTATATTTTACGATAGCAGATACACTGCTTTTGGCTTGAGGGTCACATTTTAACTGGTACAGAAAGTACCAGTAAGAAATTGGCTGATGAGACTGTGAATCCTAGTCGGCTGAAGTGACTGAGACATATGATATGTATCATCAAACACTGCCTATATCAACATGCAATCATGACTGAAGTAGAAGCAAGTTAAGGAAAGATAACAGGGGTTAGACTACAGTGTGGCATCAGTCCTTGAAGTCATTGGCTGTTTGTATGAGCTGTGCTGGTCGACCCAGACCACCTGGTTGAGGTCTGGGTGATAAACGAAATTAGTGGTTAGAGACTTTGAATGACAACCTAAAATCGTTGACAATGGTGTAGATGTATTCGCTCCTTTTCTTCTACTGAACCTTGAGTATTAATACTCCCTCATAAGTATCTTCCCATTTTATCTTTAAGAATCATTTTCTCAATGTTTAGTTTTCCTTAACATCATTGTTATTATAATGTTTTGACCCATTTAATATTCGTTATATTAGTTTCTCTGAATGCTAATGTAATTTGACGACTTGAGCTCATATTGCTTATGACTTAAAATATAAATGCTGCAATTTTATTTATTTATTTGAACACATAAATATTGGTTCAAGGGGGCACCAGATACATATGCGCCACACAAAACAATGAAAATGGGAAGAGAAAGGGGTAAGATGCATATATGAAAAAAAGAGTAATGGTGGGGGAAACTGAAATGTACAACCAGAAGAACCCTCTCAGTTAAGGAGGTTATGACCATTCTCTATGAAGAAAGTAAAAGGTTACAGTAGGCTCGCCATTGGCTTCTGTTCTGAGCCATATCTGATAACGTCTCTAGCCACTGTGTTGCAACATCTCTCGAAGCCCCGCCAGGGAGTCGTGAAGGACCAACAGAAGCCAGCCCTTTGCAGCTTCCTTTCATGCCACGACACCATGTCATACACTGACCTCCTCTCCACTTTTTCCAACCAGTCCCAGCGTCGGCAAGTAATGCACGACGTGGAATTCTCTGGGACGACATTCGTAAAACATGTTCAAGCAACCGAAGTCGGTGTTTCAAGATGGTGACACTAATTGAATTATCATCTCTGCGCGCGAACACACGATGCCGAACCTCTGCATTACTAACATGGTGTTGCCACTGGATGTCAGCAATCCTTCGGAGACAACGATGATCGCACACAGAGAGTCGTCTAACATCCTCATCTCAGATAGGCCATGTTTCACAAGCATAGAGCGAAACTGCTCTCACCGACGCGTTGAGGATCCTAGCTTTTTCAGCCAGACTAACATCACGAAGGCGCCAAAGATGACCCAGATTGGCATAAGCCGCTCCGGCTTTCACTATACATGATTCGATCTCATCACTCACGTCACCACCTGCAGTTATGCAGCTTCCTAGATACGCAAACTTCTCAACTACTTCAATCTGCTCACCATTCGGGGTGAGTACAGGATGAGAATCCTGCCAGTCTTGTAGGAGTACTTTGCATTTGGAGGGTGCAAAGCACATGCCGTACCTACGGACACTGATTGGCAACTAGTTAAGCTCGGATTGCATGCCTTGGGTATTATCGCACAGTAAGACAATATCATCCGCATACTCAAGGTCGAGAAGTCTTTCTTCAGTTAACGAATCCACACCACCAGTACTTACGTTCATCAACGCTGTTTCCAGAATATCGTCGATAGCAAGGTTGAAGAAGAATGGTGAGATTGGTCAACCCTGCCTAACCCCACTGCTCGAATGGAACAATGGAGAAAGGTGGTTGTATGCCCTCACTCTACCTGAGGTGTTTGTATATAGGGCCTTTAAGATGTTGATAAACTTCTCAGGCACACCCTTCTTCAACAGACAATCCCAGAGAACAGTCCTGTCCAATGAATCGAAGGCAGCTCTAATATCAAGAAACACTACGATTGTTGGCTGTGATAAGTATGACGGTGTTCTAGCATTTGGTGGAGGGTGAAGATATGATCAATCCATCATCGACCAGAACGAAAACCAGCCTGCTCCTCGCGAGTCAGTCTTTGTCGGGTTTTATACAATCGACGAAGTATGACAGAAGCCAATAGTTTGGACGCAATCGGAAGTATACAGGAACAACGTGAACCCTTTTTAAAGATAGGGACAACTATCGACTCATTCCATGACGTTGGAACACTCTCTAGCTTTCAGACCTTTGTAAACAACGCAGTCAATTACTTAGCCAGAAAGTCACCACCATCTTTAAAAAGAGCCAGAGGTAAGTCATCCGGGCCCGGTGATTTGTAGCGTTTCAAGAGTTGGAGTTCCTTAAGGACTTCCGCCTCGTTTGGTGGACCAGTCGTCACAGGCCATGGACGGCAGTACAGTTGAACTGCCCTTTAAAGAATTCTGCCCATCGTCCAAGACGTCGAGAGATGTTAGTAACTGGCATCCCGTCATTCTCACAGATTGTTTCACTCACACCAGACTTCTTGATGCCAGTGGCTCGGATGAGTTGGAAGAGCTTCCCGCAGTTACCAAATGCAGTTGCTGCTTCCGTCTCATTAACACACTCCGACCACCAGGCTTCTCGGTCCTTGAACAAGCTTTGCCCAATTTCATTACGTAACAGCCTTCCTTCGTGTTCATGCTTACGGTCACCCGGAGTAGACCGACGGGCTTCGATGAGTTGTAAGGAGCCAGAAGAAACTCAGTGCTTATAAGCATGACGTTTCGCAAAGCCGCAAGCGGCTTTACTCGCCATTTTCATGGCGTCGTGAAGTTGCAACCAATGCTCATCTATACATTTCGGTGGGATAGTAGCTAGCTCGGTTCGATACTTGCTTGCAACAGAAGTTGCAAAAAATTTACTGACATCAATCTGTTGATGATAATCAATTGTTTGGCCATTGAAAAGGTCGGCGTAGACCAGGGCATGATCAGACTCCAGATAGGTACTCAAAAAGGAGCGGCAGTCTTGTACACAACCACGCCAGGTGGCAAATCGGCGATGACTGTGCCGGAAGTTAGTGCTAACCAGAAACAGGTTGTAGTCTGTGCACAGTTGCAGTAAACGGTCCCCATTATCTGTCCTGCGACCAACAAGTCCCCATCAGCCACCTAAACGACTCTCTTCTGTGCCTAGATGCCCGACCTGCGCATCTAAGTCTCCGGCTATTACTACAATATCTGTCCTCGGATAAATGCACGTAAAACAAGCCTTTTGAAACAACAAATAGAGAGCGAATTTGTCGTACTTCACCATAGTCTTGAATACAGGTCTCGGATAAACAACAAACCTCGATATTAAAGCTTTCTAAAGACATAGCCAGAATTATCTGGTGTCCGATCTGCATTAGTGTGCGAACGTTGAAGGAAGCCAGTTTAAATGGTGTACGTGGTTTTAGAAAACTGCTTCAGTATTCGTATTCGGTAGAAGCATTCACGTTCCACCAGACAGTGACTGAAGATCGTTTAGATGGAACAGACTTTTGACCATTAACGAGCTGCTGCATAAGTTAGAAAGTAAGGATACACAAATTAAGAATAAAAGGTAGTGAATAAGCTTGGTAAATAATAATAATAATAATAATAATAATAATAATAATAATAATAATAATAGTGTAAATCGTCTGACTTTTAGTGGGAGCAAAAATAGCAAGAGCGGAAAGCATTATTTCATTTGTTTGCTGCAATGCATGCAAACAAGTGATTTAACGTATGGTTAGCAGTCAAGTTTCCTGCCTGTTGAGACATGGATAGTAATAGTAAAATATCACTCATGGGAAACAATTTGGAATCCCATAGATATACTATGCAATAAATAAGATGTTAACCTTGTGATTAAAATTGGCTTGAACTTTGCACTATCCATTTCGGTTTGAGCATCCCGGAGGTAGTATTCCCAGCTTTTGCACAATATATCTTAAATCCTGAGAACATAAACCGGAATAATTGTTGAATGACATCTATTAACTTTAGACTGCAACATAATGAATGCAAAGTTGAAGAACGTTTAGTATTTATACTTTATTATTTGGTGTGTTCTATCTCATGAAGCTGGAAGTAACCTCAACTATAAGTGAACAAAGCAAGGCAAGTGAGCACTTACTAAACCACCGAGGATTTAAGCCAAGGCTCTTGCGACGATCGTTTGGTCATTAGGACTATTAAGTCAACCGTGTCTAAGACAATCTCAACTATCAGATGGTAGATTCGAGCACTACTACAACTACTTTGGTTAGGGCAGGTGCGTTGAATCACTAACTCTCGAGTACACAAAAGCATTTTAACTTAAAGCCAGATTTGTGAATTTGTACTTGATTAGTGTATTGAACCATCAAACAAAACATGAATGTATAATTTTACTCAGTTATACACACCTGACCAAATTTCTTAACGAAAGTAGTAAATAAAAATTTGGCACTAGAAAATATAGTAAACTAGTCAACTGGTTCCAGTAAACCGTTTTCTTCTTAAAAATCACTGATCAGACACAAACATGCTTCATTATGGAGGCAATCTTACATCAATTTCGAATTTAGAAAATAACGTTACAAGAATGGTAAGTAGAAAAACTAACTTACTTCTGACGCCAAGCTAGGATCATCGGCAATCCTCATCAATCCTGAAACAACTCTTCCACAAATTTCTAAATTTGCGTCATTAACGAGTGGTTGAAAAACCGAATCCAAAGAGTGCAATAAATTAATTGTCCTATAAACACGTTTCTTAGACAAACAACGAATGAATCGAGTTAACATAGCAATTGTTCCGCGACTGTAACATGAATCACTCACTAATTGATTTAAAATTTCATTCAAATAACCACAAGATATTTTTGACTTGTTATCAGATATTCTTGGTTGGCGACATTCTGAAATAAATATTTAGTCACATGACAATAAATGAAACACAACTCGACTCACCGTCACAATACTTCAAATGATAAAATATGATATTTTCAATTGTATCTGAAGCAGAATATCGAATAGCCTGAATAGAAATAGAGCATTAAAATGACCTATTTAAAAACAAACGTCTATGTAATTGCCTCTCATGTCTATACAATATGTAAGCACTGGATTCGTGAACACATCAAATTGTTTGATATTTTTTTCTAGACTATTCTCACATGGATTCAATAAATTCTTTCTAAAATAAAAAACATGTCAATACAAATAAAAAGACAAACTTAGACCAACTGTAAACTATTTTCGAATGAAGTAAATTGGTAACTGAATCATTTCGATCAAACTTCCTTAGCAAATGATCATTTGGATCAACAGAAAACCCAGCCATAGATAGAATATACAAACTTATGCTTCCATAATTCTTGTAATTACAAAACCAATCAGTTGTAGATATGATCCCAACCAGTGCTAGTAAAATTGCTAATTGGCCTTGCGGTTTATTAGAATGAAATAATTGGAATAAAAAAAACAGATTTCCTGTGATATCTGACGAAGATGAATTTTCAGATTGGTTAAGTACATTCAATATCTAAAATAAACCCAAATTAGTAAACAAAATTTCATGCAAACTTCAGTCAAGTAGTTTTGTCTTTCCAACTTAACAATATTTATGAATAAGATTGCATAACCTATAAGGCATTCAACATTACTGGAACCTGAAATTTAGACAATTAAAAAAATTGTTTCTAACATACCACTGATTATTGATTTAATCTGGTCAATGGCTTCCATGAAAAGTATATATGAATTAGATGGCGCATGTGAATGCGTTAAACAATAAACCATAAGTTTCGCACAGCTACTTAAAACTGAATCGTAATGTCTGCCTTCAACACAACTGTCCTTCGTCGTGTCTTTAAAAACTCTTAAAAGGTATTCGATAACTAAAGATAGAAAAACTATTTCATTTAATTTTTAAGATTACTTTGGCCCATGGCTTTTTCATCCAACAATGGAGCTAAAAATATTATTTATCATAACCGAAGGAAATTCAATACAAAGTACCTGTCCGTAAACAGAAATCCAAGAAAGCCAACTGCAACTTTGTGTTAGGAAGTTTAGGACACAGATACAACAATGCATCTGTCCAATCTGTAATAAATACCATCTCACTAGATAAAAAGGTAATTATATTGTAATTATATTGTAATTAATTATATTGTACCTTGAAAATTTGAAGTCACATCCAATACTTTCTTTGGCACAAAATATGCTGAATTTCTTTTCAATCAATTTGCGGATATGACTTTGTTGATCAGACATTTTATAAAAGCTTCACTAAAATTAAACAGTAAATTTAAAAAGTTGATTAGGATGTATAGAATACCGTGAAAAATTCGGTTTTGTATTAAATTATTCTATTTGATATCACTGACAATTTGCAAAGATATAGGCAGTATAAATACTTAATGATGTAGACTAGTAAAGTGTTTTGTCTGTAGAACCCTAAAAACCACACCAATAATATAGGGAAACATGTGACGTGACTTACACATCAACCCCTGTGGTATCATATACCCGAGACCATAACATCAGTCAATTAATTTTAACAACCAAATTAGGTATTTCAATAAGAAGTACACAACATTTTGGTACTAAAGATCAGGGCCAAAATCGCAAATAAAAGAGACTGTTATCTATATACCATTCTGGATAGGAATGGTTTTGAAAATACTTGAATTAGGATTAAAATAGTTCAACTAAACTTTCATCTGTAACTTAGACAGTTGGGCTGTAAACGGCTTTGAATTCAAGATAGCAATCGTAACTCGAATTATCAAGGTTACTTTATGATGTTCGAAAAAATGGATATGCCTGATTAATACCTTTGTACACTGTGTAATTTTCGTGCTCATTTTTACAGAGTAATTACTCAAGGCGTTCATACAAAAACCTCTGATTCGAAATGATAAATTATAATTTATAACTATAGCGTTGATTCGAAAACATCTCGAACCACAGTGGACAGTATTCAAGCCTACAGATGAAAAGTTACGCCTGTTATGAAAGCATTTACATGAGATTCAGAAAAATCTGCGAACCAAGACGATCTGTGAGGTAAAAACAAAAACCCGCTGTAAAAGCATGAGTATACCTTAACCATGTAATCTTTACACTTCAAACGACGAACTAACCTTGATGTATTCATATTTCAATATCTCCGTCTTGATGTCGTGTGAAAGTTGTTTTCTTGATAACGTTCAGCGTCTAGCAGTCAAGCCAATTGTGTACAATAATTCCAGTCAGCAAGCAGCTTTTTCAATTTTCTATATCTTGTAGCTTGAGTGATTGATTTTGTCTCAAGACAGTAGTATTTCTGGATACTCGCAGCCATTACAAGACCTGGAAGAAGGTTGGTTGTTTGCAATATGAAAACTAATAGATGAAAAGTTATAATGCCAAAAAAGATGATCAACTTAAAAATTTAATCAATTAGTACTGGAAACGGTGTGAGAAGATCAAACTGAAAAAACGTACGAGAAACAGAAATTAACAAGCTATATTGAAAGTATGTATGTAGGAAGCATGTATGCAGTAATAAAAACCAAATAATTTATGGGAAATATTCCAGACACTGCTGAATCAGGAGAAGGATAACAACACATGGGTGATTACGTGTCTTTGAAGTTTCCTCTCAAAGCTACTGATGATGCAACGGATATTCTAGTTTTACAACTAGATACCAGTAGCACCTTCTAAATTCGATTGTTCCCAGTCAGATAGAAATCAGAAGTCAGACGAGAAGAGGCAGGAAAGATATATTTGATTCGTTACCAATATATCGAGGACCTTCTCTATGAGCTGGCTAATGAAACGTAGGAGCTGTGTCCCACGCCGAGTCGAAACGTAATCTAGTGCGGATGCATGACCGAAAGCCTTCAGCTAAACAAGTCCACTTAAACACGTGGTCAGCATCCAATGTCGAACACTTAATGAACTATTGATTTTGGGGAATTGTTTACAGCTACAGATCACTCCCCCCCCTAGTGAGGTAGTGATGCCCCTAAGACGTGACCAGCCAGAAGTTTAAACCCAACGAGTTTGTCGCTGGTAAACACTCTTCTGATAGCTTGCTTCGTTTAGCAGCATCTGGTCGTCTTTCCTTAAACTATGGGACCAAAATGTACAACATAGCAATAAAGAAATATAGTACAATGAAAATTCCGGTTCCTTGCGAAACTTCGTCGTTCTTTTCCAGACGTCCTGGAAAAGAGGAAAAATAAAACGTGTGAGTGCATGTCGAAAAATACACTCGTACTTGCGTAAGGACACAAGATGAGCGGAAAAAATAAACTGATACACTTACAAACAGCGTAAAAGCGATTGGAAAAAAAATGGTTTGTTTTTGGGTTTTTTTATATATAAAAAGTATATATATACGCTCAAAAAAAGATAAAAATGTTTTGTTTTTTTGGTTTTTTTTATGTCAATAAAAAATTATCGTATTAAAATTTTTTTATAATGAACTATGGAAGGGTAATTCAAGATAAAGCTTATGTCCTACGTGCAATATTCGTTAAGATGTTCTGGAAATCTGACTCGTCTTCCAGAACGCGTTGTTTTAGGTTTTTCTATCGACGTTGACGAAGTATCAAGTTGTGTGTCGGTTGTCGTGTAGGGTACTACGAGTGTAATAGCTGTGTCGTTTGCTTGTACCGAAGGAAAATCGACGTAGCTAGGGTTTCCTTCTAGGTACGCAGCTTTGAGTCGATCGATACTGATGCTATCTTTCGTACCGTTCTTATCGACTATATAGTACTTAGGTTCGCGTTGAAGAACTTTGAAGGGTCCTTCGTATGCTGATTCGAGGGGTCGTCGATGCGAGTCTCGACGAACGAAGACGTGTGTACTATGTCGTAATTCGGGTTGAATGAAAACATCAATTGATTGAGGTCGAGTGTGAGCAGGTTTAACTGAACGCATAGCGTTTGTAAGCCTACTGCTGTAAGAGTTTAGATCCATGTTCAATGAAGAAGCTGAAGGATCCACGAATTCTCCTGGGAGTCGGAGTGTCGTTCCGTAAACGAGTTGAGATGCCGTGTATCCAATGTCAGCTTTCACTGCATTGCGGATACCTAGCAAGACGAGTGGAAGAGCGTCTGTCCACTGTGAAACGTTTGAAGTTGATAATGAAGCTTTTAATTGTCGATGAAAACGTTCTACCAACCCGTTTGCTTGTGTGTGGTAGGCGGTCGTTCGGAAGCACGTGATTCCTAAAAGTGTGGTCAGACAACGGAAAAGTCCAGATTCGAACTGGCGTCCGCGGTCTGTAGTGATGGTTGAAGGGCAGCCGAAATTTGCTACCCATCGTTCGACGAAAGCGCGGGCCACGGTTTCAGCAGTAATGTCCTTAATCGGTACTGCTTCTGGCCATCGAGCAAAACGGTCTACGCATGTTAGGAGATATGAGTATCCGTTCGAGTCGGGTAAGGGTCCTACCAAATCTAGATGGACGTGGTCGAAACGAGCGTCAGGGGTTTTGAAAGAACCTAAGGGACATTTGTTGTGTCTGATTACCTTAGATTTCTGACAGCTTACACAGGAGCGTGCCCACTCCCTCACGTCTTTATTCATTCCAGGCCAACAAAAGCGTTCGGCTATAAGTTCGATTGTTGCACGAGCACCTGGATGAGAAAGATTGTGCAACGTATTGAAGACGTTGCGGCGATAGTGTTTTGATACAATTGGACGATCCCTACCTGTAGATGTGTCACAGAGTAAGGTTTCCTTACCTGTTCCCATCTGCCTAATACTTAGTTTAAGAGTTGTCGAGGATAACTCATGCTGAAGATCAATGTCTTCTTTTTGAAGCTGAGCGAGTTTAAGAAGGTCGATTCCTTGGAAACTGTTCAAGGAACTTATTCGAGACAAGGCGTCTGCGACTACATTGTTTGCTCCAGAAATATGTTGTATGTCTGAAGTAAACTGCAAAATGTAGTCGAGTTGTCGAGACTCTCTTGGTGAGTACTTGTCTGAAGATGAATTTAAAGAGAAGGTAAGAGGTTTGTGATCGGTAAAAAGTGTGAATTCTCTTCCTTCGATGGAATGTTGAAAATGCCGTACAGCACAATACATAGCTAGGAGTTCCCTACCGAACGTGCTGTACCTAGATTCCGCGTCTAGCAACCGTCTCGAGAAAAATCCTAAAGGTTGCCACGAGTTTTTAACCCATTGTTGTAAGACTGCTCCGATTGCTGAGTCGGATGCGTCTACGGCGATACTAATGGGCGCTTGACTGTCCTGATGAGCAAGCAAGGTTGCTTTAGCGATGTGTTCCTTAACTGTGGAAAATGCTTTACGGGCTGTGTCGTCTAAACTAATTGATTTCGCATTTCCACGAAGCTGATCGGTTAGCGGTTTCATTAGGGATGCGCATTTAGGTATGAACCGTCTATAGAAACTTACGAGTCCGTTAAAAGTTCGTAAGTGCTTGATCGTGGTCAGTTCTGGGTAATCCAGAATGGCCGCCATTTTGCTCCTAAGGGGTCGGATGCCTTGGGCATCAATGGTGTGTCCTAGGAAGTCTAAGGAGTTTGTTCCGATTTGGCATTTCTGTATGTTGACAGTAATGCCATGCCTTTGGAGTCGATCGAAAACAATGTCCAGATGCTTGAGATGCGATTCTCTGTCCGGACTTTCTATTAGACAGTCATCAACATACGCATGTACGAAGTTGAGACCTCGGAAGACGTCGTCTATAAACCTTTGAAAGGTTTGAGCCGCATTTCTTAAACCAAAAGGCATTCGTAGAAATTCGTAAATACCGAAGGGAGTGATGATGGCGGTTTTAGGAATGCCGTCAGTTGCCATCGGGAATTGGTTATAAGCTTTAACCAAGTCGATTTTCGAAAAGACAGTTGTACCTTTCAAGGTAGCTGTCAAATCGTGAATATGAGGCAGCGGGTAACGATCGGGAATGGTTTTAGCATTCAGACGCCGATGATCACCAGTTGGCCGCCAATCATTGCTGTCCTTTTTAGGGACCATGTGCAATGGGGATGCCCATGGACTATTCGATGGTCGAATTATCCCTAGGTCCATCATGTGGTCGAATTCGTTTTTAGCTAACCTAAGCTTCTCGGGAGCGAGTCTTCGGGCTTTCGAAAATACAGGTGGTCCTGTAGTCGTGATGTGATGTGTAACATTGCTGGTTACACAAGGCAATTTCAATTGCGATTAGTATATCCCGGGGTATTTGTCGAGTACTGATTGGTACAAGGGGTCTATGGTGTGCTTAATCGTGACTGGGGATAACCTGCAAC